GACCATATGCAGACAGAACCATGTTGCAAGTGCGGGTCTCCCTCGTATCTCCCGCGTTTCTCCCCTGTGTCTCTGACATGTCTCTCCCCTGACTCTTCCCAAAGCGCAACCAGCGCTCCCGAAATTAAAGCTCGGATACCTAAATTTTCCATTGCGTTAACGATGCATGCTGGTTGTGCGCAAAACACACCACAACAGGTCATTTAAGTTTTTATTTTGCATACTTGAGAGCCCTGTGAGTCATTACTTGCCTTTTTGGGTTGAGAGTGGAATAAAAAAAAGAAAATATAGAAAAATCCACACTGTTACTTATTGCCAAACTCTTGTTAACTCATTGTATTGAGAAATACTATGTAACTTTTGACATTGGCCAAGTTATATAAATGATTTTGCAGTTCATGTATATGAATGTCTGTTTTTGATTGTCTATACCTTCTTATATAATTTAGAAAAAATGCCACCTCCACAAAAAAAGATAAAAGATATCAGGAGCTTTTTTAACAGTTGGAAAGTAAGTAAGAGAAAGCACAAGTAATAGCAAATTATGAATTGTGATGATTAATCTTCTGTTGACATACATAGGAAACTCTAACACAACAAGAGAGAACAATATAGGGAATGTTGAGGTAGAAGCAACAGGCCCTTCAGTGCAGCAGGTGAGGTTGGAATTTTGTAGGTATGCATGGGACTATGAATTGTTTTTAGAGATTGATCGTATATGTCAAACAATGTAGTGAGCTACTCACTGTAGATTCTAATTCAATATTTTCTCCTCTGTTTTTATTTATTATAGGAAATTGAAAGATCAGAGCATGATTTATCGAGAGCAGTTCCTGAACTGTTAGACCCATCAACCAATTCTAGTTTCATGAGATATTTAGCGACTGGTGTACCATGCCTAGGTTTCATTTTATTCAATGTAGAATGTGTGTTTTTATTAATACCATAAAGGAAAGTCAGACAAACAGGGAATGTGCAGTGCTGGTAGAGGATGAGGAAGTGGCTGGACCTTCAGGGCTTCAGGTGAGGTTGAAAGTATTTATTTGGTTTTGTTGGTGGTTTTATTTTGTATATGCTTAGATCTGATTTGTTTAATGTACTACATGTGTTTTATTTATTAAAGGGAACTCAGGTATTCAGGGAAGATGTAGTGGCAGTGGTAGGCAGATATCGAAGCTGGGCTTCAGGTGAGGCTGGAATTATGAAGATAAAATATGGGATTTTTTAAAGTTTCATAACAGTGTATTTGCTATTTAGGAGGCAGCCAATGAGAGTCACTCTCAAGAAAGTGCCAGGGACAGCATATTTGAGATAGGTTGTAAACCATATCAGGCTGATCCTGAATACAGGATATATTTACTATCTTATTCTCTATAAACATTTAAGCCATCTTGTGGACAAAGTTAGAATGAACGCAACACAAAACTCAGAAGCTCTGATCCAATTGATTTTGTTTTAACTATTAGAAAAAATCCTTAACTGCTTCTCATTCAGTCTACAGCTGAGTTTAGTATAGAAGGCAACACACTATTGCAAATATAGCGTGTGATTACACAACAAATTCTGGGGGAGAAACTCTGGACCCCGCGTCAATGGGTGTAGACTCAGGTCGTAGTGAATGTCCCCACCAAGATTGGAACCAAACCTACACCATTGTCACTGACCGTACTTATCGGACACTAGGAGGAAAATGTCCTTTCTGCTAATGGTTAAGAGATATCCTTTTTTGTCCCACAGTAGGGAAATGTCAGTGTTGCATCGTGGGTTAGAGAACAAAAGGAATGAGGAGCACACAATCACAACATAAGATACAATAAAGGGTATGTTTTGCTGGCATTTTACACCTTGCCTAAAGACTGCAGTTGGAAACTAGTTGTGCAGCAAATACTGACACAAATTTACAGTATTGTTTATTATTCTTCAAACACCAATAGGGTGGCTACAGCTGTGAACTATTGTCCTTAATGGATAAGAGCACAACAACTTTGTATGGAGAGGATGAATGAAAAAGTCTTTGAAAGAAGTGCTATGTAAAACCAAAACCAAAAGTAAAACAAAAACCCAAAGTAAAAAACAATAAAAATGACATAGTCATCCCGCTGCCTTATAGACCAATGGCTACTATGGGTTTAGTAATATTGCCTGTGTCAGAACTGTTGATTCTCTGATCTGTCATTGGTGAATAAATAACTTTGTAAAGTTCCGAGAGACAAGTAATGATTGTGATGATGTGATTTAGAGCTATACAAAATACATTGAATTTTAACAAGTCGCAACATAAGTTTCAGTTATATAGAGCTAAACATTATCTGTATGTTGTCAAACTTCTAAGAGTTTTTGGGAAGTTTCACTAAAAGGGGAAATGGTATAAAGCCTCCAAATATTCTTTAGCTTGTTTGGTTTAAATGCCTCTTAATTTTCTTCCAATCCAAACTTTCTACAGCAGCCGTGATAAACAACTGTTGATCCAAGGAAACGTGTTAATCCCTTAAACCACCTGAACCCACCTGAACCGGCAGAATTCCATCCTTATATTTGATACAGGCTTTGGATACCACCTGTGAGTATTAATCCTTCACGCTCGCAAAATGTTGAGTTCAGAGGTAGATTACACAACAATGCGTGTAGAACGACAGCCAAAACTGCTAGCAACAGGCATCAGTGGTTGAGATTACGGACATAGCTGTGTCAATGTGTCAGTGTGTAAATGTTCCTCTGTCTCGATCCATCCATCTCTCACTTACTCCCCCTCCCTTTGCACGGACAAAATGGCCAGATGGCTTCCAATCCTACATGCTAATCCACAACACAGACTGTAGCCCTGACACACCTACTGCAAGAGTATCTACTATATGGCCCCTGTACACTGTTACCCTGGAAAGACCACCATTCTTCTGTTAAACGCTATCTAATGTGAACAATGAGCTGTCCACAAACATAACTCATTCAGGCTAAGTCGTCAACAGATGGAGGCCTACTTGTATGTGCGTCCTACTATCATATTTCAGGCAGCCCGGTTTGCAGGCCACTCGCCAACATGAGGATCTGTGTCTATGGCTTTTGTTCACTGAGGTGAGGTAAGACAAACTGAGTGTATTGGGTTACAGAGGCTAATGGAAAAACTTAGGAAATCCATGGACAAAAATATAAAGTTTTTAAGAAGTTGTCTCCATGGAATAAAAAAGTGTAAACTTCATATTATGTCAATCCATAGCAAACACATAAAGTGCATTACATAAAAGACTGAAACTTGTGTCTAGGGGTCTAGGCTGTATTCTAGGCCGCTCCATATAAAATGTTCATTATATATGTCATTACAAGCACTCCGTCAGACATGACCAGTACATAAGTGTAAAATATAGGTGCAGGTAGTCATTTAAAACAGACAAGATGTCTGCGTGTGGAGATAGGGGTATGATCAATATATAATGTATGGGGACAGTGCAGCTCAGCATCTTGCTCACAGCAGAAGCAGCCTTCAGAAATATGAGCATCTTTTACATCTTGTCTTCACTGAGATTGTGGAGCCTCTATACAACATACAATGGAACTAATACACACACATACAAGATTGAGAAAGCAAAAGGCATTTGTGGTTTTAATGACAGTGGAGGAAACAAATAATGGTTGATGAATTCAATATGAATACACTTTTGTGGTACCTCAATATCAGATAACGCCTGTCTATGCAACTAGAACACTGTCTGGGTCCATGTAGCTTATCAATATTGCAGACCAGTGTGCAGAGGTTGAATCCCATCCCCCAGTTTCCTTCTTTAATCTTCAGACTCTTCTCCATCACTGATGACTCCCTCACATCCCTCTTCACACGACAGTCAGACAACAGGTCACTGCTCAGGCCCAAACCAGAGCATGACTTTGCTGCTTCTCTAAGTCTGGGCCTGGCCCCCTCTCTTGCTGTAGCCTCCAATGCACAACATTCAGCATATACTTGTGCCAAACCCTTCCATGGCTCTTTGCTGACAGATGTAGAAGAATCAGAGGTGGAATAGCTGAGCTTTCACAGAACTGGCTCCCACCCCCACACAGAACCCCAATGAAGTCAGGTGACCAGATGTTGTATATCTTCTTGTCACTACAGCCGCCATCGGTTTTCCACACATCCATGATACAGGCATAAGACAGGGACGTGTTTCTTTCTCATAGGACACAACTAGATAAAAGCTCTCGAGATCTTATGAAGCAGTGTACATTACAAAGGAGCATCGATGAGCACATTAACCATCCATCATCCCGCTCCATTTCCCAAAGCCAGCCTAAAGTCTCCCAACCCAAAATAGCACAGGTTCTTTTCTGTTGCCACTGCAGCTGCTGCGCTTCTCCAGCACTGACACAATCACACAGAGACAGGGCCTGCACAAGCGGCACCGTTGATTCAACACCTCCTCATCAATAAAGATGCTATTTGTGAGGCACCAGGGACGTATGCAGGAATGAGGTGGTCATGTCAAGGAAAAATCAGCATAATAAATAAAAACCCAAACGATAGAATCATCCGTGTCTATGCCATGTATTGAAACTGCTGTCTTCTTAGCAGGGCAGAATGCAGAGTGAAGAAGGAAAAAAGGGCTACAAAGCACCCCCACGGCCTCTCCCTCCTCCCTCTCTCCTCCCTCCTGCCTCACATCACCACTGCATACACTGGGATTTACCTGAAATATGTCTTCACATTCTCTGTCTTGCTGTCTGTCCTTTGAGGTGGAGGTGCTGGTTGATTCATCGCCAAGATCCTAGTGACAGTTTAGAGGCCGGATTGCCATTCTCTTGTCAGACCAGTTCCTGACCCTAAAAGCAAGCTTGTTCGGCAGCCTGGATGCTTCACTGGCTGCTCACTGTTCCCTAGCTCATGATGTCATCCACCCTACTCGCCCCATTGGCTAAGGGGCTGAATATTAATGTAGACAGCGTGCCTGGGGGAGGAGACACCAGCAGCAGGGAATGGTTGGTCTCATGTTTGACAGGCCAGTTCAGACTGCAGCTCAGGCTGGAGGGAGGTCAGCAGAGTCTGCGAGACAGAATCCACAATTTTATTTATATACTATGCAGGCAAGACAACCAGTACTCAACTACTGATTGATATATAAGACATAATAGTTGTGCTTTTAAAACTATGACTCTAATTATCATAAAAAACATCACAATATGCATTAACAAGCAAGGTATTATGATGGAGACTAATGTTGCCAAGAAATATTTTGATTTAAAATACCAATGAATAGACACAACTTTTTCATAATAACATCGAAATGTAAGGCAATAGAGACAGAGAGTAAAGTCAGCCTTTATTTTAGATGGCTATTGGTTCAAAATGATCAAAATTAGTATCGAAAGTTTATCTTATCTTATATGCTCAGGAAGTAATATATTTTGTTCCTGCCCAATTGAGTATCTACTATTGATAATTGTTTGAGTATTGAGTAATATTTTATCATTAATACTTTTGACAACCTATGAGATATGTATAGTCTCATACAATATACTAGCTGTACAGGATAATAACTTGATAAAGTGGGGTATATGGTATGAGAGAGGGTCTTACTTTAAATGATTCAGTATAATATCATATTTAAATGTTCTTAGTCTTTCATCGTTCATTGGGTAAAATAAATACATTTGAATTATAGTACCTACAACGTTCTCAAATTACCTTTTAAAATATATTGATAAAAATAAGGACCAGGCGGAGACAACAACCATGAAGGGAGCAGCGCTTGCCCTAATTTGCCTATGATGTCATCTTTTTCCTACAGCTCACCTGTGATTGGCTGCTAGAAACAGCATCTGCTCAGTCTCATGGCTAGTGCCTACAGCTCAAGGTGGAGACTCACAGCTGAGGCTTCGAATCATGCTGGTTGTCCTGACAACCTTGCAATGTCGATGCCCCTGTTATTGGGAGTAACATGGCTGACATGGAACAACGCTGAAGAGAACCCGAAGACTGAACAATGTTAACTACATTATATTAGACAATAAAGACTCATCATTTACAAATTATATACTCAAGGTTTCTTATTATGCAGGCCATATTTAGAACCATAATGCAAGTAAGTCTAGAGTGATAAACACTTAGACACTTTTGTTTTAGTATCTTAAGTCAGTGCAGTCCTGATCATATACGCAGACCAATTAAATGCAAACCATTTAGCAGCAGTATGCAAAACATTACAGGAATAGAAGTGAAGGAAGTGTTTTATAGTTCAACCAGAAGGCTTACATTCTCACAAGGAATACACAGAACAGTTTTTGTGAAGAGAAAACAAGATCAGGAACTAAACTACTATCACATTTTAGTCCGCAGATAGCAACAAGATAGTAAATCTCTTGGAGCACATTGATAGAGTTAATAATACAATGAATAAACTGTTGTCATTAAATGTGATTATTTTTGCGGTATGTATTTGTAATCTTGACTTCCTCCCATGTGACTCCTTCACAATATACTGAAAGAGGAGCCCAACCGGTTTCAAACAAGGAATAATCCCAGTCATGTCAGCAGCCACTGACCCGAGAATTTAGCTCTCATGATGGCACTGACACTTCAACAGAGATTAAAATAGACTCCATCATTTTTGTTTGGTTCTAATCAAATTATTAGTGTCTTTTTGAATAATTAGAAACTTAATTATGCCCCATGTAACTCCATATGTATCTGTTACATGGTAGTCAGTGGAAATACTATTGTTTTGTCTAGAATGTTCCACTGTAAGGCATTGGAATGAAATATGTTTATTTGTTTCAATGTTGGTGTTCTTGTATAGTAGTGCAGAAATAGTCTAAAACTGTGCCTTTTACTGCATGTTACTCCATAAATTGAACATGATGCTGTTACCTTTATGGACAACTACTCTATAATTATATGATATAACAGGGGTCGATCCTGGGACCTCTTCTGTTCAATCACTACATGCAGCCGATAGGTCACTTTGTTTCTGCATATTAACTGACCTATCACAACTACACAGACGACACTCAGATCTATGTCTCACTGACTCCAGGAGAACATGGACTTATGGACTCACTCTTTTACTGTATCCAACAGATCAGTGAGTGGATGCAAAACAACTTTCTCCAGATAAACTCAAACAAAACTAAAATGATTGTGTTTGGTCCCCAGACACAAAGAGAGAGCCTTATCTGTCACCTTCAGTCTCTCTCCTTAAACTCTTCAAATCAGGTCAGATATCTAGGGGGACTACAAAAATGGCCTGGTCAGGGGCTCTACATCCATGGGCTCTCCAAATAAGCAATAGAAACAAGTACGATCACTTCAGTCCAGTTCTCAGGTCGCTGCACATGCTTCCTGTGGCTCAGAGAATAGACTTTAAAGCAGGCCATATATGAACCAACTTCTGACTCTGAGAATCTGAGAAGCACAAAGACTGGCCTCCTACTGGTGCCCAGAGTCAGAACTAAACATGGAAAGGCTGCATTTCATATTTATGCTGTTAAAATCTGGAACATTGTTCCTGAAAATGCAAAACATCTTCTCTGACTATGTTCAAGTCCAGGTTAAAAACCAATCGGTTTAGTAGAGCATACAACTTAAAGATTGTGGATCACTCATTTTTATGTTATGTTTTTGTTATCTGTAATAATCAAATGCCTTTGTGATTTTACGGTTTTGTTAAACACTTTGAGTTTGAATGTATGAACTGTGCATTACAAAAAAATCTTATGGAAATATGTAGATCAATTGTGGGGGAAAAAAACTCTTGTACAATTTACAAGGGTTTTGTGTGCATAGAAATATGAAAAAAGTGTCAATAAATTTAGATTATATAAAATAGTCACATTTTGCATGTGAATTTCTGTTCTGTTGTTGACTATAGTCTGAAGAAGAAAAAAAAGAGAAAGGCAAAACATTGACACACATATTGAACCATTTTGAAGAAATGCAACTATGGATTTCAGGAATAGGGAAGGAAACACTTACAATGTTCTGAGGAAGACTTCAGTAAAATGGCTCTTGTTTATGAATCAAATAACACAGCACTGGTCAGTGACTACTGTACAAAGTTGATTGAATTATAGCTGAGATGATCACATCAGTGGAGCTGTGTCTGTCAGAGGAATGGGGCCATAGGGTTCACGATGGTGATATATAAGAGAAGACAGGGTGAGCAGGTCAAGTGCAATTTTGCAACCACTGCCATTAAATATGACCTCCCAGGGTTTAACTGCAAAAACATTTGGATCTCTATGAATATCTGTTTAAAATATATATATATATATAAAGACCTTGGCTTACCTTGTTTTTATTTCACACTTTTCAGTAAATGTTCTGAGAATATATATGGATTATATCATATTCTGACAGTATTTACTAGCTTCATCTTAACATAGTTTAACAAGGAATAGTGCTACTTAAGGATAAAAATGTTTAGTCAAGTTAAAAATTATGGTAATGGTTTTTCACTTACCATGCCAGAGTGACTTTCGGAAGTCCAGGGCCTTTAACCTGACATGTAGACGATAATAAGTAACGCTCATCCATGCTGCTCTACAACACAGAAAAACTTGTGAGTGTTGGAACAGCAGATTAGCCAAAAGGAACATAATCGAGGGTAGTAGAGCTCTATCCTGCTGATAAAGAAAAAGGGGGGTACTTGAAATGATAAAAATGTGCAGACGTTTATAGCAAAGTTTCCCCTTAAGACAAGTCTCACTCTTCTAATAGTTAATAGTTTGATTGACAAATATCTTTTAAATGTTAAACATGTTTGATAAAATATATAGAATAATTGTGTTTCAACCATTTGAAAGGGTAACAATACTGCATGACTGATATATTCTGATTAATGACAGCATTTTGCTGATGGCACATTGCTCCTGCATGTGTTTAGGTTGACCCACACTTTCTTGTCTGTCATCAAAGCTTGCATCAATATAAATCACACAGCAGCACCTATCGTTTCTCGGAGAGCAGGGCACAGCAGTCTGGTCTGGGACAGCAGCGGTTTGGACAGGCCCCGCCCCCTGACAGCTGGCTCATTGTGCCCTGTGCCACTGAAGCGGCCTTGTTTCCTCTGCTTGGGCAGTTCAATAACTAATCTGCAGCCGCCACCACGTCTCAAACAAAGTACATTATGCTATTTATGGGATCCTACCAGTTCATGTTAGGAGAAGAAATGGCACTCAAAAATCAGGAATAGTTATCACTTTTGGAAGTTCAACTATTTTTTAATTGATAAAAAAGAAATTTACAACCACAAAACTAAACACAATTAAAAAAGACCTATACTGCATACATTTGCTTTCTTGTTGGCTGATACCGTGGCAGAGCTTGCTTTTAATGAATTCTGAATATGTCATAATGTAAAAGTGTGCATCTGTTGTTAGATGCTGACATTGACAGACCACACGCACAGCCCCTCCCTTTGTCAGATCAAGGCTAATGAACAACACACCCGTGCTCCTTATGAACACACAGTTTGGGGTCATGTGTACTCACTGCTTTCTGGCTGAACACACACGGACAATAGAACACGTCTGAGGAGCTGAGGCCCGGACCCTGAGGAAAGGCAGATGGTCCTCGGGATCGAGGACTGCATTCTCATTAGCATTAGAAAAGACTCTTGGTGAGGGACAGGTACTGTCCTCACCCGTCATCTATGGGGGACACACAGAAAAGCATTGAGACTAATCATCTTATCAATACAATTAGAGCAGGGATGTCCAAGTCAAAAACCTCAGAGGGCCAAAAAAACAAATTTGCTACAAGCCGTGGGCCGAACTGATTCAATGTTTATTACACATATTAAAATGATTGCATATAATTAACACAGTGGACCAGATTTTATTTAATGATTAATTGACTAATCCAATATTTTTGTATTGCTCTGTCAGTCATTTCAAGTTAAAACGTCTTCCAAAAGAGTCACAGACAAAAACAAACTTTCTTCAAAGATACTCGCGGGCTGGATCTGGCCCCCAGGCCTTGACTTTGACACCTATGAATTAGAGTCAATCTAATTGATTGGGCGGCAAGGTGGTTAGCGCTTCACAGCAAGAAGGTCTTGGGTTCAATTCCACCTCCAGACCTTTGTGTGTTGTTTGCATGCTTTCCCCAGTGTGCAAGTTTCCCCCTCTAAAACTCACTAAAACCATGTACAAAAGGTCCTACTGTATGGCAAGTCTGCTCCCAAGTGTGGAGTGAGAGACAAATGCCCACAATTATAAAACGCTTTGTGGCTCTGGTCTGTGAAAGGTGCTATATAAATAAAGACTACTTACTTACTTATTAAGCAATGCAAAACACAATATAATAATCATAAATTAAGAAATATTTATAATGTATGATGCAAAACACAATAGTATGTAGTTGAGCTTTAAGCAATGTAAAAGTAACAATGAAAGTCTTTTCTTAAGATAAGCAGCACGTTTTTCCTTTGAAAATAAAAATACACTTTGAAGGGGCGAGTGGTGTTTTCTTTTCAGCTCACTAGAGACATTTAACATAAACTTTGCTGTTGATACAGCTGCAGGTTTGAGGCTGAGGTTTTTCTGTGGGTGAACTCAGCCCACGCTGTTGTTTTTAGGGTTGCATCTATTGATTATTTTAGTAGATGGATAATTACCTTATAGATTAATATGAACTTTTTTACTTGTCACAAAACATTCTAAAATACTTACTATATGAAACAAATAAAAAGTTTAAGTATTACTTTAATCTTCAGTGCAGCCGCCACTGACAACAGCTGAAACAAGTACAACAGTGCCCTAGTTTCACTTTTTTTTGTAATAATATAATTGTATCAAATAATTGAAGCAATGAAATTGTAAGGACATTTGTAATTTAAATAACTCCATTAATCATTTCAGCCCTAGTTATTTTCACTCATTAATCATTAAGGTTTATTGACAGACCTACATTTATGCCTTGATACACATTAAGTAATTGTTTTCCCAGAAGCCCAGCTCAGGAGTTACCAGTAGATCCCATTCCCTTCTAAGTAAGATCCTTCAATGACTTTGAAATTGCAGATAATCTACTAAATGTTCAAATTCATACGATTGCAGGCATATGATTCATATGCCTGCAAATCTTGTTGGTATTCCTTTATTAGCACACAGACATCCATTGTAATTGTAATTTACTTGTTGATCAATTGTAATCATATAGGTTAACAATTATATATGATTGAAATACTACAATTAAATACAAATAATAAAATAATGTGTTAACCATAGACTGTAACCTTGTATTTGTCTCCACCTTGTGGTAACAATAAGAAAGCTAGATTCATGACACAATGATGACATGACATGAAGTAGACATGATGTAGTGTTAGGGAGAATATTTGGAAAATGTATTTGTTGCATACTTAATCAAATATATTAGGGGAATCATTCTGTTAGGTAAAGCATACTGTTATTATTTTTAGTTTGGTGGATAGTGAATACAGTAATGGTCAGACTGAAGTCAAGTGGACAGGCTGCATATGTTACTCAAGTCATTCTGTTGTGACCTTTCACTGAGATTGGCCTATATATTATGCAGTTAATTATGTTGGCGATTAGTTAATCATTTCACATTTAATTAACTAATCTAATTGTAAACTGAGATCAGTAAATACATCACACAACCACTAGAAAAATAGGTTTTCGCAATATATAGAGGACTATAGTCCCTTAGATGTTGGTAAAGTAAGTATTCTGAATACCTAAAAAAAAAAAGTTACTGAATTCCAACGACTGAAACGGAAAATAGTTTTAACTAAATATTCAATCTTCTCTCTATTCGTATTGTAATGCAGAATTGTAATAAAAAACTGTACGTTATTTCTTACTTCCAGTGCAGCAACTCAATTTATTTTTTTGACTCTTTGACTGAAGCTAGAGGAAAAGCAGTAAGTTATTAGTAAAGTAATCTGTTACATATTAGTATTAATAATTACTTTTTTCTAAATGTAACGAGGTTACTTTTCTTAAATTAAGTACAGTATCAAGAGAGTAACCTAGACATCTCATTTTGAGATTACATTATCTGTGATATAACAAAATTCTTAATATATGGACTTTTATGTTTAAGCATCGGTAAACATTTCCACATACAGCTGCTAATCTGTGTGTGGTATTCACTGACTACAGCAGTCTGTCTCTAGTTTATTCAACATTCAAAATGCTCCATGTTAGTGCTCCATTTGCTTACTAAGCTACTACTAAGTTAATAATTAGCCAATTGCCACTAATTTCTCTGGACGCAATTAATATTTATATTAATATGTTTATAAATACTCGGTAAAAAAATTATTTTCATGAATTATATGAATGAGAATTATTCAGTGGAAAACACTGGCAACAAGAATTTGTTGAAACATTGCAACAACATACAAAAGTCATTGCTACAAAACCACAATCAGTTCCTTTTTTTTTTAATCAAGCAAACTTGATCAACTACGTGTAATCAGAAGTGCAAATGAATAAGTTACGGCAAACAAATACAAATTCAATTGCATTTAATTCTAAAACTCGTCATATCAGTGTAATGAATGTGTGTTTGCTTGGGTATTTCACTCATCTTACCTGCTCTGGGGCCTGAACACATGTGTCTGTGCAGTGAGTGTGAGGTTTGGCTGAGATCTCCGCCCCGTGGCCCTGCTCTAGTCCCAGTTTGTCACGTCTCATCGTGTCAAATCATCCATTCATACTCTTAATGGTTTACTATACATGTGTGTGAGGCAGTGGAGAGGGTTGCTGTTTGTGTTTGTGGCTCTATCCGCGGATGGAAACTGGAGCGAGAGCTGGCTGTGTTAGCATCTTTAGCATTAGCTCCGGAGAGAGAGGCGGGGAGAGCAGAGGTGAGGCTGATATTTTGATGGTGACAACACTGCCGACTGTATGTGCAAACCATCTGGTAAATAGTATCACTTTAACTAATGTGACGCTATATTAGACGTGCTTGGACAGCTACGCATTGAGGTGGGTACATACTTGCGTGTTTGTCTGGCGCTTTGTGGACAGAATGAAGACAATGTTTATCGTTTTCTCGACGTTGTTGCGTGGCCCGCTCAGGAGCTAGTTAGCCTAGCCACCACGGCACCACCATGGACCAACACAGGGAGTCCCAAAGTTTTCATACTAGTGATGAACGAGTGAGTTAATTTTGTGCACAAAATAACGCTAATTTTCACACTTATACTTATTGATACTGGTGACTTGTGTGATAGTTTTCTTGCCCGTGAAGTTAATTATTATTGTGACCATTTTTTTAATTAACATCTTCCTTTTTAGAGGTCCTTTTTGTGTTTCCCTTTTTTCGTCCTTTTTATTCTGTTAATTCTCATGGTGCAAATTTTATTCATTTTTGTTCTTTTTTGTTTTAGAAGAAGAACCTATACATGTCTCTGGAGTTTGACTAAAGTTCTGCAATGTCTGTGGATGAAGAAACCATCAAAACTGGCAGTCCTCAGGCCAGTTCAGCGTCATCACTGCAGTTATCAGATTGCACCGGAGGTTATGCTAATATTTCTGTTGTAGAGGATACTGTTGCTACACCAGACTTTGCTGCTGCTTGCCCATTTCCTGATTCTGCTGCTTCTCCCAAGCACTCAAGTACTATGGATGCGCTAACACTCGCTGAACCTGCTATACAAAAAGCAAAAGGAAATGATCACAACATTAATCGCAGAAATAGCTTTCATCATTCCAAACAACAGCAACAGTCGAGAATAGCAAAGCGACGCAACACGTCAAGCTTGGGCTTCAAGCACCCAACATCTGGAAAAAGAAGGCGAAGAGCCAATTCCGAAAGTGACTCTGTTCTGCCAACAAACTTTCTCTTGGGTGGAAATATATTTGACCCGCTCAATCTTAACAGTCTCCTGGATGAAGAGGTAAACAAAGCTTTGAATGCAGAGACCCCTAAGTCCTCTCCACTTCCTGCAAAGAGTCGAGACCCGGTGGAGATCCTTATCCCCCGGGACATTACTGATCCCCTCAACCTAAACAGTGGTATAGCAGACAGCAGCTGTCTAGTTTCCCCCTACAAAAGTGGCGGCAAAAGACGACACCGTAACAGGCATCATGGAGGTAATAGTTATAGCCATAATTTTTCTGGTTCACTGCCCAACTTGTCTGATTTAAAGCGAAATGAAGTCAGAGCAGGTTCTTGTACACAGCAAGGGGAGACACAGCCCTCCTCCTCTGCACAAAATGTCTCCAAAGAGTCATTGGGGGACTCTAATGAACAGTTGACCGACTACGCTGGGAGCTGCAGAGAAGATCTGTCCGTGGAGGAGTTGAACTCCTCTACTATTGGAACAAATCAGCACACAAGCAAACGTAAACGAAGACGCAACTCTGGCAAGATGGATCCTCCAGTAACACATTCTACTCCAGTTGTGAAGTCTGTAAGAGACTGTAACACCAGGATCTCACAGTTGTTTAGCACCCCAAAATGTGGAGCCAAAAGTGGTCAAGGAGGTCGGCCACCACAACCACAACGGCAGAGAAAAAAGTTTCAGTATGGAAATTACAACAAGTACTATGGGTATCGTAACCCAGGTGCAACCGAGGATCTGCGTATCAGTGTATTTAAGCCTGAATGGTTTAAAGGGAAAGATGTTCTGGATCTCGGCTGTAATGCGGGACATCTCACCCTTTATATAGCCAAAATGTTTCGGCCTGCGCACATATTGGGGCTGGACATAGATGGTGATCTAGTCTATGGAGCTCGAAAGAACATTAGGCATTATCTGTCTGAGCTGCAGACAGAGGAGGCCAGACAAGCAGTTCAGGAGAAAGGTAGCATTAAAATTGAGGGGACGGATGGAGAGCAGAGCCACACAGCCAGCGAAAACAGTCACAGTGAAGGTGTGGGAAAGACTGAGGATAAGCAGCTGATCAGAGTGGAGGATGGCAATACAGAGACTATAAAAGACAATGACCGTCACACAAGTGTGGAGGGTAATCAGAGACAGGAGCCTTCTGCTGGTCAGTCAGTGAACTCTTCTTTTCCAGTGTCACTGCGCATCTCCAGGGGGCCCATAGCTGCCCCTCCTTTGACAGAGGTAACCACTCCCCAGCCTGGACACTTTCCCTCCAATGTGTCATTTGTAAAGGTGAGACCTGGGTTGCGTTAATGCCATTATTTATATATTTGTCAATCAAAACTCAATTTAGTAATGTTTTGACTGATCTCCTTCTCTCTTTTAGGCTAATTATGTTCTGGAAAAGGACCATCTTCTTGTGACTCAGCGTCCAGAATATGATGTTATTCTGTGTCTAAGTGTAACCAAATGGGTTCACTTGAACTGGGGTGACGACGGCCTCAAGCGCCTGTTTAAAAGAGCTTACAGGCATCTGCGTCCAGGAGGCATCTTTATCTTGGAACCCCAGCCCTGGGAGTCATATGGCCGCAAGAAGAAACTCACAGTAAGCATTTTCATTATGGGTTTTATCGACATTGGTCACTATGATAAAGCTATCACTAAAAGACAATAAACTGTCTTTTGAAAATGTTGATTTGGAAGCTTCACCACTTTCTTTTTATTTTTCAAGGATGTTACTTACAGAAACTACCGCAACATCAGCCTGAAACCAGAGCAGTTTACATCCTACCTCACTAATGAGGTGGGATTTACAAGTTATCAGTATCTTGGCGCTCCCAAAACTGCAGTCAAAGGTAATGTTGCCCTTACCTTCATTATGTTGTGTATATTGTCGATCTTTTCTGAATTCTAAAATGTATAATCTTCTCTCATAGGTTTTCAGAGGCCTATCTACTTGTTCAACAAATGATTTCTTTGAATTTGAAAAGCCTGTGTTACCATCAAACAGAACATTCAGCCAAGGCCTGCACTACAAATAGTTGCTCCAAATCAAAGAAAAGTCATAACAAAAGGGACCAAATATGTACGAAGAGGATAAAGAAGATTTGAATGTTATTTTACCGACTGAAAACAGCAAAATGTAGATATGGTCAAACTGTCAAAGGCTTCTTTGGTCACTTTATTGTAGTATTGAACAGAGGTGGCAACTAATAAAGGTTTTGGTGGCTGTTTGAAACACTAGTAAGGTATTACTGATGGAAGTGTTTCACAGCCCATGCTAAAGGTTTTTGCTCAAAGTACTTGATTTGGTTTTCATCTCTCTTTATTTACTATGTAAGGGGAAGACTTCAATGCTTAAACTTTTAAGCATTGAAGTGATAGTTATTGTATCTCCACTTTCACTTCATGGATTAAGATAGTACTCCTGCCACCTCTGGTATTGATAATGCTGTTTCTTCTCAGTTGTGTTTACTGTTGGCAGCCATTTAGGGACCCATTATGTTCTCTTCTTGGTCTTTGTCAGCAGGAATTATGATAGCCTGTTGCTGCCATTATCTCTCAAAATTCACCAAGTTCAAAATATAGGTGAAATTTTAAAATTGTATATGGTGCCATATCTCAATATACATACAAGTAGCAGGTAAATTATAGTTGATGTATTTTTATGAACTGTTGAAGCTACAGATCTTTGCAGCTCTTTGTGGTGCAGGCTGAGGATATAGTGTTAAATTCAAAGCGTCTTATCAGTTGCACTTTCCTTTGAGAGCTTTGTATGGTCTTTATATTGCACTGACTGATTATATTTTTATATCTGGAAATGGAAGCATTAATTCAAACAGTATGGAATTGCATTTATTCATTTTTCAACATGTTTTTGGAAGAAACAATTGTGACATTTTATCATTTTTATAAAATGAAATGTTGATTTTTTTAATTAAATGTTTCTTTGCTGTTTGTATTAAAGCAGTATAATCCAAATTATCACATTTCCTGAAGAACAAACTTTCTCAGTAGTTTTAGATTTAATTGAGAAATGAGAAATGGTTGTATACAGAAAGGGCAATTGGATCAAATGCATCCTTTGGGTAGATGATGGCCATGGTAATTGATTGCGTTTTGGTAAATAAGTGTAAATGTTGAAAATTCTATTTTATTTTTAAGTTTATACCTTGTTTCTAATGTTTTATCTTTTTTGTCTTGAAAATGCTCAAGGTATGAAATGAGTAGGCTGTGTGAACAGCATTGACACCTTATTTCTTGCAGTTAAGTTATTAGAGTAGTTTTTGTGTTTAAAAAAAAAAAAGTTTCACAAATGTGATGTGACACAAGCTTATGTTTTATAAAGAAACATGCTTAATTGCTGCTGATTTTTTTGTAATTAGAAAATGGCAACAAATGGCCATTGATGTTATATAAGACAATCAAATTATTGTCAATGTTCACTTGTGGGAATGTGTTCCTGTTGTATACAATATGTGTGAAATTTAATAATGATCAGCATTTCCACATTTTTGAAACATTTTTTGATACCTAAAGTTAAATAAAACGATGTGAAATCCGTTAAATACAGACTATTCGATAATGTGTATGAGCTTTCTTGATATCCTCTCGGATATGGGGTTGCTTTTAGATAATATAATTATCTAAAATTTGACACCTTCTGACTGATGAAAGTAAAACCATATAGTAAGCAATTGAATAATGAAACTTATTTTCTTGCTCCAGTCACTAACTTTAGGTATACTGTTGATAAGATGTGGTAGTCGGTTGTCAACACATTGGTGGGGTCTGGTCGCAGCCACTGCATTGAATTTAGCAGCTGACAATGCAGAGCACCACACAGACATGTTTACATTCATTCCTCAACACCTACTGGCCATGGCCCATGATGGCCCTCAGATTCTGCTTCTTTTTAAATGGAACCATTTGTAAACGTGTAAAATATTCACTCTTGAGAAGTTTCATCCGGCCCAATTACTGACCTTGGCACCAGAAAACATGACGGTGTGCAGGGCAGTTTTGATGGCTGGTGGGTACATAGTCTGGCTCAGACAATGTGGTCTAGACAGACAGTCCGAGCAGAGAGATTATTCACCTTCATTCACAAAAGCTCTTTACCATCACAGTTGTTTGGGTCGGTCACTTGACCATCATTGTCTCCCAGTGTCGTGTGCAAGCATACCAACAACAGCTCACTTGATTTACCTAGAGTCAAGAGACACCACAACAAGAGATAATAGAAATAAAGACATGAAAAATTAACATTTTATCCAATTTATTTGGGTGTGCACAGCTGATCAATCAGATTAAATCATAAATTTCATTTTAATGATAGGATCACACATCTCTCTGGGCGCTGGCATCCTTCATCTGTCACACAAGGTGTTTAGGAGCGTATGGCGCAGCACCTAAGTAAATTATGTGAACATTTGTGACTAAACTCCATCTTGACGAGCACAAGAACAGTCTGATCTACCTGTATCTGCGAGGGCAACCGTGATGGCCAACAAAATACTCTTGAGCATAACAGAACCGTCTGCAGAGTCCTCTATACCCACAAGTCCAGTACTGCATCTCTGGATCAGTACCTACACAGATAGTGGAATAACAGTTATTTATAAAAAAAATTAATAAAACCACAATTAAAAGCTTTAGAAGATTTATATTGTTATAGACCAAACTGACTTGTACATATAGTTTACATTATTTATGTCACAAAGTATTTCTTACCCTCTCCATCTGGCATCATCAGAAGAAGCACAAGGAGAACAAAGCTCAGTCCCTTCATGTTGGTCTTCATGAAGCTTCAAACCTGCTGTGGCCAGGCTGATGCTGCATTTATACACCTTTCAAATGGGGAGGAGTCCATGCCTCTGCCTCATAAACAATAGCAAACTAGGTGGCTCCCTTGTTATATTACAGCTTAGTCCATAGGCCTACATTATAGACAATACCATGGGCTCCTTCTGGTGGTATATGAACTGCTGCAGTTCAGTTATTTAGTTTAAGTCAGCAGTTCTCAAGAGGTCACAAATGTTATGTGGGACATTCAAACAAAATTGTTAATATAATGAAAGTTATGCCGGTTGAATGCCGGATGATTGTCAGTGGTGCTGGAGGCATTGAATAATTACTTTGTACAGTCCATTATTTAATCCCATAACTTGGTCTGTGAGAGGTGGACCCCAAGAGGCCTGTCAGGCATATTCAACTCTTCAATTTAGCAATACGGCTATAACATTCCAAAATGTAGAAAATTGACACATTCAGATAAATTCTTCACTCGCTTGGTGCTGGAGGCAGCAACCGCTTAGTGAGAAGACACATTTAATTTCTACCAGGTAGAAAATGTGTGGATCAGACCACACTCACAGATCAGACCTCACCCAAAGGACCCCATATCATATACTATAGCTCTGGGTATTTCAACCAGTGTGCCCTGTGCCTTGAGATATTCTTTGGTGTTTCTTTTGAAAGGATACATTATCAGCTATTGGTTAATGTGAGAAGATTAGAGAGGGCTTTTTGAGCCTGTTTGAATTTCTTTACCATACACTTTGCCATGTTGTTGTGGCCAGTGGTCCATTGATAGGCAATAAATAAAGCATGCACAAAATAGAAACGGCTTTTACATAACAGTTCTAATAGTATGTGCATGGTTGAAATATTATGCTCGAAAACAGGTATTGGGCTAGTGTTTCGAAACAATGCTTCAGTTCGAGGCAGGTGATTCCAAATGTTTCACTTATAATGTAAAACATTTGGCCCATTCTTCAATGCCACTTGGGCAGTGGTTATTTTTTGTTTTTAACTGGATAAAAAGTAATTAAAATTTTAAGTGAATGAAGTTAAAGTCTGTCCTTTTCCCGATCATGGATCTATTATAATATCGTCCCAATCTGCAAATACCATAGACCAGTGGTTCTCAAACTTAGAAAATACTTTCCTCTCCAAGCACCACCACAAATGACCAACACTATACAGTAGCGTAGCAAGCCTAAGTATTCATCAAAAACAAGGCAGAGGTTTCATTTTTAAAGAAGTATATTTAATATTGTCAGCCATTGTAACATTTTACACAGTTTCAACAATAAGAAAAAACTGTACTGTACTTAAATAATGATTTTATTAAAAATGTCTATTGTGAGGTTCATTACGAACTGCAAAGCCTTGACTCACCACTGTGAATGATATTCTGGAGTGGGATGGCCTTCTTTATCCACCAGAAGGTTTGGACACTGGTGCACTTTTGTTTATAAGACTATGCTTGGTCTGCTGCCCTCTTACATCTGACATTTACTCACACAAAGAGATATTAGTTCATATGGTTTGGATCAAATGATCTTTTTTTGCTCTCTGTTCCTTTTGCACAGAACTGGGAAAAAATACTTTTGTTTATGCTGCTCCTTCTATGGAACATATTGCAAAAAGATGCTTTTAGATCCAGATTGAGACTGAGACGTCCTCATTGAAATGTAACTGTTTTTATAATCCGTAATTATATTAAATGATATGTTATACTGTTTTATAATCTGTATGTAACTGTTTTATAATCTGGAATTGTATGTAATTTTTGTCCAGGACTCCCTTGAAAAAGAGGTTCATAATCTTAATTTATTTCAGTGATTCTTTGATGTACCACTAGAGAGAGCCCCGCGTACCACTAGTGGTACGCATACCACACTTTGAGAACCACTGCATAGACCGTAGTGGACGCATGCGCACATTGCATACTCAGCTCACAACAAAGTGGATCCCCAAGATGGCGGACCTCCTCGGCTCGATCCTAAACTCGATGGAAAAACCTCCTACAGTCGGCGACCAAGAAAGCCGACGAAAGGCAAGAGGTAATTCTAACTCCATAAGATTGGACTGCAATGGATGACTTCTGTGTGGGTAAAGTAAAACACACCTTTGAGCTGAAATAAAGTAACCGGGCTGAGGACCGCCTCGGTGTTGATGCCCCTTATAGTTTATACACATCTATAAATCCACGGTCACAAACTTCATACTTGAATGTACTTTACTTAACGTTGATTGCACTGTAAAAATTGTTTTTAAAAATCGCATAAAATAATTCCGACATTCCGAGGCTAAATATCTGGTGATGAAATATGCTGTACGTACAATAGCAGTCATGTCAGTAATATGTCAGTAATATGTTTGTATATAACATAATGTGCTTGTAATCCACCCCTTTGTTCCAGAGCAAGCAGCTAGACTAAAGAAAATGGAGGAAGATGAAAAAAGAAAGAAAGCAGAGTTCAGGAAAAAAGTAGGTTGAATTTAGGCTGGACTCAGCTTGGCAGTTCAAATACCACTTTTGTGCTTGCCACTTAATTCCATCCCATATGTGACAGAGAAATTAAGAATTTGAGGCAAATGTTTTCCTATTTTTTTCTTGATATAGATGGAAAAAGAGGTGTCTAATTTTATCCAAGACTGTATAGAACAAAAACGAAAATACAACCCTATGGGCAAAATAGAACGAAGTATACTGTAAGTACTGCTTATCTTGACCTAAAGTAGACTTCTGGAAACTTATGTCATTGCTTTTTTTCTTGTAGGCATGATGTGGCTGAAGTAGCCGGGTTGACCTCTTTTTCATTTGGAGAAGATGAAGAGAGCCGTTATGTCATGCTTTTTAAGAAGGTTTGAATAAATAATGTGTGACTATAATACAGTGGTATTGGAATAATAAATTATGCTTTGCAGGAGTTTGCCCCCTCAGATGAGGAATTGGAGGCATATCGCAAAGGAGAGGAATGGGACCCTAAGGTAGCAGAGCAACGTCGTAGACTAAAGGTGTAACATTTTTATGCATTTGGTTGTTGAGAATCTTAAATAATAGATATTATAATGGTACATACCTTTTAGTACTTACCAAATATCTTTTCCTAACAGGAGCAGGCAGCATTAGAAGAAGCAGAAGCCCCAAGGTCTAAGAAGTCTGAAACATGCCCCAACTCTAACTATAGGGACAAATACAGTCACCTAATTGGCACATCTGCAGCCAAAGACGCAGCACACACACTTGAGGCCAACAGTGCTTATGGTTGTGGTAAGTGTCAATGAAAACATGATATTAATTATGTAATTAAGAGGCTAAGTTTTTACTCTTTCATTCAGTACCTGTGGCAAACAAGAGAGACACACGCTCCATAGAGGAAGCTATGAATGCAATTAGAGCAAAGAAACGACAAAAACGAGAAGATGATACAGGGGCACAAAGTAGCACCTATTAAGACAACATACTGTTTCTACTTTGTGTGTGCGTGTGCGTGCGTGCGCATGTGTGGGAGTATGTGCATGAGGGTGTCTGCCAGCTCGTTGCAATATTCATGCATTACATGTGGGAGCCAGTGGTCGAGAATTCTCAGGTGGTGAAATTTTAAATGTGGGTTACATTTATCTGTGATTGTCTTTCAGTAACTATATTATAACCATACCCTGGTCCTTATTCATGTGGTCATAGGAAGTATTATGGTATATATTAGCATTATTTTAGTTAAAACAATTTTTAGTATGTATGTTTTTACTCTAAATTGTTTCCTTCACGTAAATTCACTTTTAGGCTTGCTAAAATGTCAGTATTGATACATTTTTAAACAAATTTTATCATCAGACTTTTACATTTGTAACTGTCATGACATGTCCTATTGAGCTGTTGACCATGAGCTGTTACAATAAAGTTTTCATGCTATAAGAATGTAGTTTTTGGAGGATGTAGAGGATTCTGGTGAAAATGATATTGCCTTGCTAAACTTCAGTTGTAATCTCTCTTCCATTTGTTCATTTTCAAGGTTTTTTTGCTAAAAAATACTTGGACTTGGAGTCACTGGCCAAGAAATGATTTTCCTCTAAAACAAATTTTGCAGACTAACCACCATACTTAAACCAGGTTTAAATTCAGACAAACTGAAAACAGGACACAATTTTGCTGATTTACTTTAAACTGCGAAAAAAAAGTAAATTGCTCTAAAATTAATAATTCAAACATGTATTTTTTATGAAACTGGTCACTCTTGGTTTATTCAAGTGAAATAAAAAAATAAGAGATTCATCCCACATGGGGAAATTTCAGTGTTGCACCCAGTAGGTAAATAGGACTTTGTAATATGTGTTAATTGCCACTTATATGTATACCACAATCACGAAGATCAATAAAAATAAAGGATAAGGAAGACGCTGTAATGAATTCGGATTGTGTCAAACCGGAAGCTCATCTGATAACCCGGAAAAGACTTGCTCCCTTATCCAGTTTATTGTGCGTCAGTGGTGGCTAGAATAACTTTTCACTGTCATCATTTTTAAAGTAGATATAGAGTTTGATTGAAGGGGTTGGGACTCTGCGGCCATGAGCTCTGCGGGCTGGCGGCTTCACTCGGAGCTGGTCGCGGTCATAGACAGACTGGTGCAGGCGGCTGTGGCTGAGCTCAAGCGACTAGAGGCGAAAAGATTGGATGCAAACAGCCAGCCTCATATCTTGGTAAAATACACTGTTTTAGGTTGATAAACTAAACACGTTATGACAGTACAAGCGAATGTGTTCTCTTTGACGAGACGTGTTTTATCAACTCTTTACCACTATGACGTTCTTTTTAAATCATGGTCTGGTCAAAATATGTTTTACACAATCTACACTGATACAATAATTGCTTAATGTATATCTACTTGAATGTGTAAATTGCCAACATGAATATAAATAAATTAATACAAATTGTGTTTGTTTATTTTAGGATAGCCCGATTGAAATGGATTATGTCTTTTTCGAGGGGGTCCTTTTTAAAATGTTTGTTTTTAAAACAATTTCAGGCTGTGCCAAAACAAATTCTTCTACTGACCAAGCATGGCCTTAGGAGAAGAACTAAGTCAGGGGCAGGCAGCATGTGTCTATTCATAATGTCATCACTAATGTACAACTTTATGATCCAGATGCAATTTACGTCTTTAATGGAGACTCTGGGCACTGAAGCTTTGGGGAAAATCCTAAGCATTTTGGACACAGCCAGAGTTGAACTGAAACTGGACAAACTCGACTATCCTGCAACAGCAAAGCCCCATGTTGTGTACATACTTCAGAGTTCCAGGGTGGGTAAGTTCTAATAAATAATAGTTTAATAATGTATAAAACCGGTGGATGAAAAACTGTTAATGATTTTACCAATACAATGTTTACCGTTTATTTTTCAGGGGAGGAGCATTCGTATGGTGCAATTCACAACAAGAACCAGGGCCATCCCATTAACAAAGACCACTGCTATGGAACGTACAATAAGATACAATCAGACAAATTTCCAGTGACTCAAGTGTGTGACTCAGCGGAAGAAGACTCTGCAAAGGCAGAGATCATCCCTGCCACTTGTCTACAAGACAAATGTGGACATTTTAATATAAGCACTGATAACAAAAGTAAGTAAAACAGCTTCCATTGTTGTTGAATTAGCAAAACGGTTTAACACTGTAACAATTTCTGCTCTCATTCAAGAAAAAGGCCATCTTAGCTGGAAGAATACTCCAACATGCACATGCTTTTGTGGGTTGACACTTTGACAATATCTTTCAGAGAGGCAGCGCTCAATCAAAACAAAGCTCAGGAAGTCAAAGATTAAACCTCAAGACCTCAAGACTCGAATGGATATGGACATGACTGAATCTCTAACAAATAAGGAACCTTGCTTACAAAGTGAGTCTCATTATATTCAAGATATTTGTACCAATTATCAATATTCTTAGTAAATGGTATTGTTTCTGGTTTGTAGGTGCTGGAGAGAATAACCCTACAACCTTTACATCAACTTCTCTTGCCCCTCCCTTCCTACCAAAGACCGAGTGTGCTATGTGTGACATAAGTTTCAACAGCGAGTCTGCCTTCAGAGTACATATGTGTTCTCACACTACTGAAAGGCCCTTTAAATGTACAACATGTGACGCCAGTTTCACTAAGGCACGCTCCTTGAAGACGCACATGTATAAGCACACAGAAGATTATCCCTTCAAATGTCAGGAGTGTGGCAAGGGCTACATTGACGGAGACAAGCTGATGGGGCACCTGAGTGTTCACACAGGGCTCAAACCCTTCGACTGTAAGGTGTGTGGAAGCTCCTTCACAGCTAAGACCAACCTGCATCGCCACATGCGCTCTCACACCGGCACCAAACCCTACACCTGTGCAGAGTGTGGGCGGAGCTTTACACGCTCCAGGACTCTCAGAGATCACATGACTATTCATTCTGGAGTACGTCCATACAAATGCTCTTCCTGTGGCCGCACCTTCAACCACAAAGTCAATCTAATTGTCCATGAGCGCATCCACACTGGTGAGCGGCCATATCTCTGCTCTATCTGCCCCAAGGCCTTTCGCACCACTGTGGCACTACAGGTTCACCAGCGCGTGCACACAGGGGAAAAGCCCTACATTTGTGATGTTTGTGGCCGAGCCTTCAGCCAGCAGAGCAGCCTGTGCGTGCACAGACGCGTGCACTTAAACGAACGCAGCTACGTCTGTCACGTCTGCAGCAAGAGCTTCAACAACCCCCAGAACCTCAAGCTGCACATGCGGGTCCACAGTGGAGAGCGGCCTTATGCTTGTGGACTGTGTGACAAAACCTTTGTCCAAAATGCACACTTACACACACACATGATGCACATGCACTCTGGAGTCAAACAGTGCATGTGTGAGCACTGTGGTAAAGTCTACGCCGACAGACGCACTCTCAGAGTGCACAAGTGTGTGTATAAATGACCTGGAAATAATCACAAGAATATTCTGACTAGATATGAACAATAGACTTTCTCTTGGATTGTCCAAAGCACTTTTTAAATGCAAATGTTTTTTGGAATAAAAAGATTATTTGTTTGTTAAAGAAGTGAAAAACAACTGAATATAGTAGTAATATTTTTTTTGATTTTTATATAGTGTTTTTCTGCACATTCAAAGAAGCTACGAATACTATCATTCATTCTTTCCTTAAACTTGTGAACCACTATTGTGGCCACAGCTGCCCTGGGGGAATACTGGTGGACGTCAGGCAACAATTATGTGCCTTCCATGTGGGTTATGTGTCCTCCCCATGGGCACAACAACAGTTTGATAGCCTCAGATGATAACTTGTCGTTACTTTGATTAAACACTGAGATTACACTACATTTCTCAGTGGGTTGGACGTCAAATATTCAATAATTAAATGTTTTTGTACTTCCCTCGAGTTATTGTGTTTCGCCTTTAGGGGGCGTAAGCGCATGGGATAACTGCGCTACAGTCTGCTTAATGCGTCTTACCAAAGTTTGTGTCCTGCAGTTACGTTATAGAGTTGCAGACACAGTCAGACACATGTAAAACATGAATCCAATGTTTTTCTTGTTCATCATCTGGGTTGCAAATGCTGAATTGAGACAACGGAAAGGTAGGTCTCATTGTCCTGCATTTAGGCGTTATTCTAATTGATTACACATTTGTGTTTGGGGTTGAGGTCTCTGTTTTGATTTCATTTCGCAACATTGTTTTATTGTACGTTGTTAATGAACAGGACGTGGAGTAATTTGCACTTTTAAAAACAAGACTTACAACCTGGGAGACAGTTGGCACCCTCATTTGGAGCCGTTTGGATTCATGTACTGTATGAGATGTGTCTGCGCTGAGGTACACTTCACTCTGTCACAGTTAGACTGCACATGAGCCTTAACTCTGTCTGTGGCGTTTAGACTGGCCATGTGAAATGTAGCACCGTCAAGTGCCCAGCTCTGTCCTGTGACCAGCCTGTGCTGCAGCCACAGCAGTGCTGCCCCAAATGCTCAGGTAAGACCCATCTGTATTGTTCTGCAATTGCTCCCTCTACACATCTCATACACATCTAATTTACTCTCAGCGGGACATGTTGAGTTGAGTGTTTGTTTATTTCGAGTTCAATGTACATCATTATCATCAAATGTCAGCATATAATTTTCATTATTTACAATAATTAACAATTCCTTATTGCAGTATTCTAAATAATTATACTCGAAAAGGAATGGAAGTGTATGTGACAATGACACATGTTCATCTTATAGATCCATGATGTCCACATACACTTTTCCTGAATGTATTTATTTATTTTAAAGTGCGTGCATGAACAGACATTATAAATGTCAGGTTGTGGCCAAAGGCACAATGTACATGTATTCATTCTGAGATGTGTCGATGATTGATCTCATAGCGATTATACCTTGATTGAAGTATTTTCTCCTCAGATGAACCCGCATTTCCCGCTGCTCTCAGAGCTTCAATAAAGACATGTCGCTACAACGGAACCGTTTACCAACCTGGAGAGAGCTTCACCAAACACGACCTGTTCCCGTCCCGGCACAGGGACCAGTGTGTTCTCTGCACATGTGCTGTAAGTCCATTCAAATAAGATAGAAAATATTAAAAATGGTTACAAAATCTACGATTGTAAAATGCCCAACATATACTTCAGAATGATAATTATTTTTATTTCCAGTTTAAGTAACAGGAAGTCACAAACTAATTTGCTTTGGTATGTGGTGCAAACAACTTATAAAAAAGTAAAAGAAAATATATATATAATCATGTGTCAAAAATGTTGGTTAAAATCTACAGTAGAGATTTGGCAGTGTGGATTATTGATGAGTGACCAGAGGTATAATATTATAAAGTGAGGATTGTAAGGGGCTGAGATCTATTGATGAGTTATTAAGGGTTCAGGAGTCCTTCATGTCAGTTTGGCTTGGCCTCTAATGACACATTTTTCCTCAGAATGGGAACATCTTTTGTGCCCTGAAGACGTGTCCACCGGCTCTCTGCTCCTCTCCTGTAGGGGCCCCGGACACCTGCTGCCTCCTGTGTAAAGGTACTTCTCCCTGTTAAATCTGCACATCTGTTCCACACATTCACAACCTGGACTTGTGTGTTTATGGTCCCTACTTAGATCACAACGGATTGGTGTCGGACGAAAATCAACAACTTAACCGCGGCGTGGTATGTTTTCTTTTAAATTATGATTGACTGCAGAGAGGTTACACATATGCTTTGGTTGTGGCATTAGGAAGAATAGCTTTCAGGTTCTGTGTTTTATGTTGGTCTGTCAGAGGAATAAAAGTTTATGATGAGGACAAATGATGACTTTCCTCTCTCACTTTGGGGTGAAAAGGTGACCTGCTCTGGGATAACTGCTTTATTGTGTATTCACAAAGAGGCATTCAGTGAACCAGTGTCCAGGGGAGCAGATCAGGGTGTGGCCAGACCAAGCCACTGTATCCAGGGGCAGGACTTCTCCTCAAAATCTGGCCAAATTGAACCTTAAAGGAGCCTCAGAGACCACCGTGAAGATTCTACTGCTGCGGAAACACCAAAGAGGTTCATCAAATCAAGCACTTTACAAAGGGCTGCTAACAGACTTTTGTTTTTATGGACACGTTCCTCACAAATATTGTTTCCATATGCAGCACACTCAGATGTTTCCCATTTATCACAGCTTGTTTGTACAATGGAAAGACATACTCGCATGGAGACATTTGGCACCCGGTTTTGGGGAAGGTCCTGGAATGCATCCTGTGCACTTGTACTGATGGCCTCCAGGACTGTAAACGTATTATATGTCCCAGCACCTATCCATGCAAGCACCCCACAAAATCTCCAGGAAAGTGCTGCAGGACATGTCCAGGTGATCCCAACACCCAGACATATGTCTTTGTGGAAGTAATGATGTTTACAGTCATTTTTCTTCTAGAGACTAGAGCTGGAATCAACGTGACGCAGTGTCACATGGGAGACAGCACTAATGTCTCGGTTTATAAAGTGGAGGGTCCTTTAAACATGGACAGTCCAGAATGGACTAAGATCATTGCTGCAGAAAAAACAAGTGAAGTCGAGGTGCTGATGTGGAGGAGTGTACAAGGTACAAAGACAAATTACTGACACAATATTAAATATGCCACATTTTTGTATCATCTTAGATTTTCTTTTGCATGTTTAAATAATATAAAAGGAGAAAGAGCCAGAATTTAGACATCCTCATGACTTTGGTAAATTGAGTTCCTTGTGGTCAAGTGTGCACTTCACTCTTCATCAGTCTCTGTGTGAATTCCAGTGTGACTAATCGGTCAAAACTAGCCATCCATGTCATGCAGTCATAAGCCATAATTCTATTTCAATTAAGAAGGACCAGACTCTACATTTGTGTAGGCTTTATAAATAACCCGACCCCTCTGGCCAGTGGCTGAGGGGTCAGGTTTGAGTTCAGAGTTTGATTCCCGTACTGGCCCAGACCTTTCTGTGCAGAGTTTGCATGTTTTTTCCCCATGTCACGGAGTATCTTTCGACACTCTGGTTTTCACACCACTCAGAAGGTGAACCATAGGTAAAATACTCCAGTAAAAGTTGTTTAAAAAGAAGACATCTGGAGATTGGTGCTCAGTTGCTGCACTGCAGATTGAATTAGGGGTCAATTGTAAAAGACACATGCTTCAAGGAGATAGCCAAGCCTTATCAGGTAACAATATCCTTTCAGAACGTAAGTGGGAAAGTGATAACATTTCTTGAGAAAGTCAGGTAAGTGCCTTGTCTCCAATGTACCTACTCCCAGTCAGGTGTACAGACTTTACTTTAATCAAAAGGAATGCTGCATAATTTACTAAAAATTTCCTTTTTCCATATGTGTCCTCCCCATGGGCACATATATCCTTTTTCTATGTTAAGCGTGGGGGTGGTACCTATTAAATAAGCTTATATTAAGAAAGATTCTATAAAATGCAACCAATTCTGGAAGCTCACGTTAAATCACTTGTGAGAAGCCTGAACTTAAAACCTCAAGTACCACAATGCATTGCAGAGGCATAAAATGACTGTGATAAATCTCTCAGAATTGGAAGATTGTGTAAGGGAGAACAGGCAAAAAATTGAAATCCCTGAAATTGTATTCAAACTCTCGACACTCTGTTTAAAAATGCTATTCATATTATATAAAAGGTAATATAAGTTTTGTCAATGTTTCATCTGTAATTTCATGCCATTTGTAGATAATGTCTTCCCCTTGGTTCATTGTTGATCACCAAAACATTTGCTGCATCTTTCCCATTTACTATAAGCTATTCCATGGTCTTACAGTCACATAGATAAGTAGCATGAGCTCTATTTGCTTTGCCAAATGTCCAATGTACGTGTACAAGAGAGTGCATTCTGAGGCCAGGATTCACCTGAAAGTGAGATTAAAGATAAATGCATCTTTATCTATTGTGTTCGTCGATACATTCATTACGGGCTGTTTGATTGTATATTTTTAGATCATGAATATGTGTGTTCTGACATTGCAGGGGTTTTCCAATTAATGGAGATCGACGAGGTCCAGAAAACAGATATAAGAGAGCTTCAACAAAATCGCACACTGCTGTCAACAATCAATGACGGTTAGTTTCATCTCATCACAATAAGCTTAGGGACAATCTTAAAATTCTGTTTTGCATAGTGCAATACTCTGTAAAGCCTTATACATCTTTTTATACTTCGCAGAGACATGGAGGAGATTTAAGCAAGAAACAAGAAATCTGAGCAAAGCCCCTCAGACAGTTTTATGTTCTGACGGGATATTTGAGATTGTAAAGTACTTGAATCCCAGGCAGACTGAAGGCCTGTGTTCCCCATAACATGACTTGACACTCGCCAATAAATTATAGCTTTTGTCGAGTTTGGACTTTTGGGAGCTACGTTTTTTGGTATAAAACCAATGTAAAAAGGTGTCCATTTACATATTTATTGCAAAACAATAAAAGTTTATATAAGATGGCATTTGCACAGAAACATGACTTTAATTACCTGGAGTATTTTGTTTGGAATTGGTATTTTTAGTGATGTAGAAGTTTTGTTAACAGAAAGTGTTTGTGGTAACGTTCAAATACAGGACTGGTGTTTCCACTGCAGATGAAAGGTTGTCATGGTGATCAAATCAAAGACAGAAGTGTGGCATCTTTCTTCGATTATGTCTTTTGCTGGAAAACAATCACACATAAATGTCTTTCCGCTTTTTTGTATTTGTTATGTGTTTTTGGTTCAATTTGATTATTTGAATAATTATTAACGTTTGTTAAGATTGTAGTCATGGGTTAGACTGTGGGAAGTATTGCTGATGCCAAGTTGTCATTAATTTGGTCATTTTGTTTGAGGTTTGAACAGAGTTGAATGCTGAATGCAGCCAATCACATAAATCAGCCTCAGATTTCAACCTGGGGTAATAGTTTAGGAGTGAATCTTCTTTGAATCAACAAAAATAATGATGTGGGCTTGTATTTGTAAGACATTGATTCTGGGTTTATTAAATCCTTCAGTTTGGACACTTTTAATTTAAATTTATGGACAAACATTAATTTAAATGTAACAGATTTTCCATATAAATATTTGTCATCATCAAAGGCTTTCACATTCTAATTTGACCTGTGCAGTTATACGATACTTATTAAAAGGTGTACAGAGGGATTTAAACATGCAAGCTCATCCAAGGGGAATCTTGAGGAACTCCCAGGCCAGCTGAGAGACTATAAGTCTGTGGAGTAGCAGAGGCTTCATGACGCGATGATGCAGAGACTCTGTTGCAGAGTTTGCAGTTGACACCATCATCATTTATCAGATGATACTTTTTGAGTACTATTACTATTATTACTGTAGCCACATTAGCTTCTGATAAGGTGAAAGCCAATTTACCCTATTTCCACTCGCATGATTGTTTTTTCCCCCTGCAAATTTGCATGTTTAATCATTAATACATCTAGGATTAAATCTCAAATATGGCCCTTATAAACGTAATAATGTATTTTTATTTAGGAATGTGCCTGCGCTTTCTTACATATGTTTTTGTTATTTGTTCTCTTTTTTGACAAATTTAAAGTGTATTTTTTCAATAAAAAACAAAACATAAATTATAGAGCATATTCTGTACTGAAGATGATTTATAATCTGCAGATGTGATAAGATAAGATAAGATTGCTTTATTTATCTCACAGAGGAGAAATTTACATGTCACATTTGGCATGGATAGAGACACTCAGATTGTGCAAAGGGAGGAAATGTGCAAACATGTTACATGCAGGATATATGTACAATAAAGTGACAATAATTATGTACAACAAAAGTGACAAGTGTCAATTGGAAACAGTGTCAATAGTAGTGCAGGTTTTCACACAGTGATCATTTAAAGTGACTTATTGTACAGTCTGACAGCAGTGGGGATAAAGGCCCTGCGGTAGCGCTCCTTCCTACACTGAGGGTGCCTCAGTCTTCCACTGAAGGAGCTCCTCAGCTCCTCTACAGTCCTGTGCAGTGGGTGGGAGGTATTGTTCATGATGGAGGTGGCTTTGGCTAGCACCCTCCTGTCCCTCACCTCCTCCACAGAGTCCAGGGAGCAGCCCAGAGTGGAGCTGGCCCTCCTGACCAGCTTGTTCAGTCTGTTTCTGTCCCGCTCTGTGCTGATCAGAACTAACAAGGCTCTTTGCTGTGGTTTGGAAAGCTCAGAGGTCAGAGTGAGTTTGGGTTCATTAAGCCTGATAGCTGTGTTTGCTTTCTTTGCTGATTAAGATGCCCGGCTGCACTTCAGTTTATTCTTCATCAAAACACTTCCGAAACCTATGGAGACTTGAGCTATTCTCAAACAAATCTTCTAGTTCCTGATAATTGCTCTGATGTTTGGAGTGAGGCCAGGAACCCACAGATGTCACAGAAATAAGTCCCACTATCAATTAAGTACTGCAGACAAAGTGCAAACTCTCCACCTCAGGCTCATAACAACTGTGAGCAATTATAGACAAGAAATGTGTCCAGAGAACTTACACTGAATAATACTCAACCCTGATGACAAAGTGAGCTGCACCATGTGACTGTTCTGCTCGCTGTTGGTCAAACAGAGGACAGGGACACACATCAGCATCATCCTTTCACACTCTTTTAAAAGACGCAGCAATAAATAATAACATAACATAATAGGTTCATTTCCAACAGTTTCAAATAGTTACAAAATGTTATGTGAAAAGACATATGAAATGCCTTTTTGTGAAAGTAAACAATCATTAAATACATTTTCCCAACATTCATGTATTCATTCATTAATTTACGTATGAGTTGATATATTTTTTGTACATAAAGGCCTCATTGTCATGTTCCTTTACAAGCCAAACCTGTTCAAGTTCTTCAATGTAATCATATTATTTCGGACTTTATGAACTTGTTTGCTTTCTATTTGACTGAAACACTCTCTCGTTCCTCCTCTCTTCAGTGCAAAATTTAATATTTCTTACAGATGTCAGCACTTTCTTGTGGCCATGCATAGCACCATTCAGCCCACAGGCCTCACTTTGAGAACCCGAACTACTCCAATAAGACACACACCTGCTGCACACCTGTATAAAAACAGCACCAGTTATCATTTATAAGAAATTAATTTTTAAGTGATTTAAGTGTTTTAAAGCACTGTGATGATCATAGCATTTAGCTAAATCCAGTCTATTTTGACAGTAACATTACAACTAAAACTACGTTTGTAAATATTGTTCTGATTTTAGCCCTTATCACAGAAACAAGTCTGTTGTATTTCCCAGCTCTTCCTCATGTTGACTCTCTCTCTGCTGTTCACATAAACACCAGAAAGTAAGGAATATGTGCTAGGTCGTCAGGTCTGGAGATCAACAGCTGACAAAAAAATAAAAATGGGCTGCATCAATATATAGGTTGCCGTGTTAAAAGATCTTGAAAAATACACCGGCTTAATAGTCTAGCAAGTACTTATCCAGGCTTTCGGTGGAAAGTCTGTGATTATTGTTTTCAAGAAGAAATTACTTATTAATTTCAAGTGAATAATGCTACATTATTATCTTTTCATAAATAAGCAGCAGGTTTTATGCCATGAAGAGTGAACTGCTCCGACACTTTGCTGATGATGAGTTATTATGGAATGACAAAGGGTTTGAGGCATAATCCGGTGTCTGTCCTGATTGGCCTGATTTCTCCTCCAGATGTTGGAGCAGTAATGGCTCCAATATACACCTCCATAGATAAACATAGACAGTCGTGTCTCCAAGTGCGCCTGTTGTTATTCTCTGTTGGATGGAGTCGGCCTGTGCGCTGCCAGGGTCTGATGCATCACCCAGGGCCGGAGCAGAAATGTGCATTTGTTAATCGTTCACAACATGTTGTTCACAACAAATTTAACATTCTACAACATGTATGGAATTTTTTTTCACATGTATATCTATATCTATACTCTTTATGTGTTTTAACTGTTGATTTTCTGACCTGTGTTGGTGATTTCAATGGTTTTGTTAAGTCCTCTGAGATGACTTCTGTTGTGATTTAGGGCTATACAAGAATAAATTGTATTGTGTTGTACAACATCTATTCAAACAACACTGAGACAGTCTAGTGGCTTATTAGTTTGAGCTAATGACAACACCAAACCAATACATTGAAATTAAAGTATGAAGTATTAACTGGTTCCAGGACAAAAAAGAAAAAAACATAACAAATGAGCTGGTGGTTTCATAAACTGACAAAAACATATGGGGGTTATTCTATTGCAGGCATGTCCAAACTAAGGTCCATGGGCCAATTGCGGCCCTCTGTCTTGCCAACATCATTTAGTCTGGTGCGCTATGACAGGATTTTAATTGTCGGAGATTTTAATATACACGTTTGTTGTCCGTCTAAGCCCATGGCCAGAGACTTTTTGGACTTGATTGAAGCTTTTAATTTGACACAGCATGTTACTGTCCCCACACAGGTTCACGGTCATATTTCAGACCTTGTACTGTCTTATGGTTTTACTGTTGACAAACTTGTTGTTGGTAATGCTGTGTTTTCTGATCACAGTCCTGTTATGTTCAGTTTAAGTCTGTACCCTGACGTAAAGCCACCTGCTGTGCGTCATGGGCGTGTTATTAAGTCTGACACTGCAGCCGCCTTTTCTCCTCTGTTCACTGTGTCACCGCAGAGTTTTTCCCACTCTGTTGTATCCCCAGACACTGAACAATTAATGTGCTCTTTTATGTCCACATGCTCTAGGATCCTGGACAGTATAGCGCCGGTTAGAGCTATTTGTCCAAAACAAAAACAGGAGCCTTGGCTCAATGACACCACGCGGGCAGCTCGGCGTGAGTGGCGAAGGGCGGAGCGTAGGTGGAATAAGGATCACTTGGTGGTTTCTTACCAAATTCTTATAGAAAAGTGCCGGGACTACCAAAGTGTGGTTAAAGCTGAGAAAACAAATTATCTTTCAGACTTGATTACAAATAGCATCAGTAAGCCACGTACTCTTTTTAAAACTATTAGTTCTGTTTTTAATCCGAATCCAGCCACTTCACTGGAGATAACTAATGAAACGTGTGAACGATTTGTCTCCTTTTTTAATGACAAGGTTGCTTCTATTCGAGCCAATCTAACTCCTTCATCATTGAGTTTTAACATGGCTACTCGATGTTCTGCCGTTTTTAGTCAGTTTGTGTCAGTGTCCATGTCTGTGTTGACTGAGATGGTGAGCAAACTCAAACCTTCGTCCTGTCCCACGGACCCAGTCCCTCCTCGCTTTTTTAAAGAGGTTTGGGGCACTATTGGCTCTTCTGTGAGGGACATCATCAACAGCAGCTTGCTAACTGGCAATGTGCCTTCCTTTTGTAAAAGCGCTGTTGTTGAGCCTTTGATAAAAAAACCAGGTCTTGATCCCATGGTTTTATCAAATTATCGCCCCATTTCAAAACTACCCTTTGTTTCAAAAATATTGGAGAAATGTGTTTTGGCACAACTGCAACCTTTTTAAAATGAAAACAGCACTTTAGACCCATTTCAGTCTGGATATAAAGCTTTGCACAGTACTGAATCTGCACTTTTAAAGGTTTTTAATGATTTGCTTTTATTGACTGATTCTGGAGGCTCCACCATTTTAGTGCTTTTAGATCTTACTGCTGCTTTTGACACTATTGACCACACAATTCTTTTAGACCGCCTGAGAGATTGTGTGGGCGTCAGGGGGACTGCTTTGGAGTGGTTCAGGTCCTACCTGTCGGAGAGGTCTTTCTCAGTCAGGCTGGGGGATGCCACATCTTCTTCTGCCTCACTTTATTGTGGTGTCCCTCAAGGATCTATCTTGGGACCTATCCTTTTTGCACTCTATCTCCTCCCACTTGGGGAGATTTTTAACAGACACGGAGTGTCCTATCACTTTTATGCAGATGACTGCCAAATTTATATGCCAATTTCGAGAGGCCATGCCCCCCTGACGCCCCTGCTCAACTGTCTATGTGACGTCAAGGCTTGGTTAGCCCAGAATTTGTTAGTAATGAATGAGGGAAAAACGGAAATTTTAACATTTGGACCGGCCCTTACTGACTTGGGACCACTAGGAAATTATGTGCGTTCCAAAGTCACCAGCCTTGGCGTGACTATAGACAGTGATTTTAAATTTGACAAACAAGTGAATGGCGTTTTAAAATCGTGTTTTTATCATCTTCGGCTTTTATCAAAAGTGAAGCCATTCTTATCTTTTAACTTGTTAGAACAGGTTGTGCATGCTTTTATTTCCAGTCGTCTGGACTACTGCAACGCACTTTATGCTGGTGTCAATCAGAAAACCCTCTCCCGGTTGCAGTTGGTCCAGAACGCAGCAGCACGACTTTTAACGGGGGCCAGAAAGCGCGAACACATCACCCCTGTACTCGCGTCTTTGCACTGGCTCCCTGTTCATTTTAGAATTGATTTTAAAATTTTACTGTTTGTTTTTAAATCTTTGCATGGACAGGCCCCTGATTACATCTCGTACCTCATCCAAATTTACACTCCTGCGCGCGCCCTGAGGTCCGAGAGCCAGCTCCAGCTCGTGGTCCCTAACGCGAGACTTAAAACCCGGGGGGACAGAGCCTTCTCTGTGGTCGGCCCTAAGCTCTGGAACGCTCTTCCCCTCCATGTCCGGACGGCCCCCACAGTAGAGTGTTTTAAGTCTCGTCTTAAGACCCACTTTTACTCTTTGGCTTTTAACACTGTGTGAGTTGTGTGGTCCTCTGTGTTTTTATTTTTCTATTTATGGTTTTAATCTGTTTTATATATTTTTATTCTTTTATACTTGGTGAAGCTAAGGATAAGTTGTTATTTATTTTATACTTTTTTGTGCAGCACTTTGGAAACGTAACTGTTGTTTAAATGTGCTATATAAATAAAGTGGATTGGATTGGATTGAACATGAAGTAGTCTTTGAGATCATAAGCACAAGTTCACAGTGTCATCCGGCCAACTTCAGCTCTGCCAACAAACGCACATTATACCTTGTTGTAAAGCTCAGGATCTCTTGAATCCAGTTGCGGACTTTGTGTAACTGTGCTGACATTCAGCCAACTTCAGCTCTGCCTAATGTGAACATATGTAGACATGTATACCTCATTAGTTTACGTAATAGCTTAGAAATTAGTTTAGGTGAACTAGCGTTCTTTTCAATCTAGTCAATGGTCTGTGTTTTCGCCCAGTAATTTTCATATTTGGAAAAGATTCAACAAATTCTACGGCTTCCTCTGGTGGTAGCATAGGGATAGGGCAGGCCGATAGCGTTATTCAGCCCTGAGACTAGTATCAGCATAAACATTTTTTACTTTCCCATTCTACAAAATGACTTTTGGATGGGAGGTGGATAGAAGTGCTGCAGTGCTGAGACGGCTGTGGTATAGTTGTGTGAATCATGCGGCAGCTGTGACTTCAGATTACAGCTGCCGGATATTTGTAAAGCAAAGTTTTGACTATTAGCCTGTGAAGGGAGCAACATAAAAAAAAGATTGATTATGTACTCATGTAACACACAGCATCTTTTTAAGCATCTTTCCTCCTTCATTATTGCTCCCACCTTCTCCAAGAGCAGCTTGGCAGGCAAGAAATATGAAAGCTGTGAATCACATGCCAGTGTCTTATTTTATTGATTTAATGCATCTGGACTACAAGTGCATTCCACATCTGCAGCTGAAAACTGCAGATATATCTATATTAAACGCTAAAATATAAAACATTTTTTTTTCTTTTTTTTAAATCTCAGTAAAAGTTATATATAAATTTTTCGATTTTATAAATTGTATTTAATTCAATTGTAGATTTATATACAATTTCATTCAAACACGTTTTTGGGTTGTTAGGCAGGATGAGAAGTTGCCAGATTTAACCTGACCCAGTTTTTAAATATGGACAAATTCTTTGCTAATGCACATTAGAATTAATGATTATATTATCTTAATTTAATCATTTCTGCTTAACTAAATGCAGCAAATACACAAACTCACATATGAAGCTCATTATTTGTTGGACACTTTGTTGGACACTTTACCACAAAAATGCATTGTTGGTGATGCCTATTATTCAGCTATTGGGAAAAGGTTTGTACAAAGAAGAATATGCAACCCCTTATGAGCTGTAATAGTTCATGTGTAGTTGGACGGGTTTGTGGGATGCTCTGATCCAAGACTTGCGGCTTGTTCCATTGTTTTCCTGTGGACCATCTTGTATTTGTCCTTCATGTCCTTCAGCAGACACAGTGCTTCCTTATAGTCCTGTTTGTTGCAGCCTTCTCTTTTCAGTATTTTAGCTGTAGGTAAGAACAGAGTCGAAAAGTCAATTATGAATACCAATATTTCCTTTGTGCTTCAAAGTTCTAGCAATGCCATGACATTTCCATTAACACAGACTTTTGACAGACCCCTCACCAGAGAATGTAAATGCCCTGCCTCTTGAAAACCCTTTTATATTGACTTCTATTTCATTTCATAATTCTGCCTGATGGACTCCCAAAGGTCTAACCCTAAAGCCGTGTTTCTGATAAACAGAACAATGTTGCATACTTAAAGGTACTTCTCTCATTGTCTTAGTACGTTTTATTTCCTCAATCATTCGGTCCAGCTTTTTACTTTGTTGTTTTAGTGGCGGAGCAGGCCAAGGCAGGAGCGCCTTAATCTGTGAAGAGAGACATGTTTTTCAAATTATCGACTCAAAATCAGCGTGTCCTGAGTGTAACACAGAGCTGATCACAGTTGGACAATAAAACGTGCAGAGAAAATTGCCAAACCCTTTTTGCTCGCTCTCTGTAGGGTGTCTGGATGCTATCAAGTTTGGGTTTTGAGTCTCTATAAACATTAAGATTCTTCAGCGTGTGCTCCAACATTTGAACAGCTGTTTGAATTCCTGTCGGAGAGAGAAAGTGTAGGAAAAGGCAAAAGTATTCTGTTAGAGCTTGAAGTCTTCCCAATGCTAACAAATAATCGTGAAAAAGGCACTTTGTAGCTCACCGATGGGCTCCACTAATGTGAGGTCCACAGTGTTGTTTTCTGCAGACTCCAGTTCTAAATCACCAATCTGAACAAAAGAGTCCACACTCAAACTACGTACATAACACTTTAGATACTTACAATGTGGTTACCTCGGTGACAAAAAAAGGCTGTGGTGTTTGCTGTTCATTGATCTCGGTCTTTGTTTCATCTGGAGTTTGACGATTTAGCATTTGTGTCTTTTTTAAAACACTTGGTATCTTTTCACATGTCTACACAACATAAAGGTTAGGGTTAAAGTACAAAAAGATGAATCAACTTAAAGCAACAGTAACGTGTCCTCTACACTTGACAATGTGAAATTGACAAACAAAAACTGTTTCAATACAAGCCCAACCTTCCATTTTGGCTCAAAGTGGACTTTTGTTGACTTTTTTAACTCCTCATTTTTTCTCTTTATCTTCACGCCGAGTTTGTCCTGGAGGTAGTACGTCAGCAGAGGTGGATCTCCTGAATCAAAGCAAAAACAAAATGTGCTCCTAAATGTCTCTCTTTTTTTCTTACAGACAAACGTTTTTCCTGGAGAAAGACGGAGAATCACCACTTCTACGTGTGGTCAGGGGATTGGAGCTGATGTTGATTTCACAAAGCGCTGGGAACAGGGCCACAGCCAACAGCGCCTCTTCCTCAGCGATCTATCACACAAAACCATGAGGTATATTCACTAACACACTTAACATCTATATGTCGAGAACTGAAGACAAGGCAGCGGCGATTGCACAGTGTGTAATCTGAACAGCATATTTTGTACTGTGGACCCCTGTTATATCTGTATTGCTGCTAAACAGAATATTTCCCACACATGACCCCGCTCACCTTGTTGCCGGACAAATTAAGAAACTGGAGTTCTGGGCAAGGAAAGCTGGTCTCTTTGTAGTCGTCCCAGTCCTTCTGTTGAAAAAACTGTCACAGCCCACAATTATTGACCACACAATGTTTCAAACTCACTGGGTTTTCTTATTACCTGCATGAGTTTCAGTAAGTTTTCACTGACATTTCCATCAGAATCACTCTTGTTCTGTTCACTCAAAGTCTGCTCTGGTTGTACGTGATCCAACATCTCCAATAACGGGACCTCACAAACGTAGTTCCCCTTCAGATTTAAGTACTTCAATCTGTAATAGAGAGTGAGGTTAAATGCGTTGTAAGGTTTGTTGTCTTATCTACTCACCTTACTCACTTACCTCTTCAGATTTTTCAGGGAGTTGAAAATGTCAGAAGATAGAATATTATCATCAAGCATCAGGACTTCAAGACTTTTAAAATGTGTGTTGTTCTCTTGTGAGGTTGGACTGAAACAAAAATGATGATTTGTCTGTAGTGCAATACTGCAAATAGATTATCAGGATAAGATAGAAATATGAATATGAACTTTAGAACTGTGAATGCAAAACTACAACAAACTGTCTCTTGATAGATGTGAAACTGTTATAAAAATTCAAAATAGAGGGAATTAGGAGCTAAAACATCTTTCTGCTCATACATGTATTGTTCCCCAGCTTTGTGCATGTTCAGTTTTAGTTTAGTTCTCTGCTACTGCTCAGAAGGACTCATGGCTGCTGATTATTGGGTCCCAACAATCTACACTGAGACAAACTGTTTATTTATTTGTTATAACTTTGACTTAACTCACAACAACATGTTGTCCAGATGTTGCTTTGGAAATGTGTATCTGTGTCTCCAAACCTTTACAACACATTTAGTAAAACAAAGTCAACACTCACTGAGACGTGTGGTTGGAGAGACTCGGATCAGAGGGAAACTGAGAAAGCTGGTTTTCAGTCAAATAGAGGACTCTGAGTCGTGGCAGACGCCCGAGAGCAGCGACAGCAGACGAGGATACGCTGTTGTAGGACAGGTCCAAAACCTGAAGGTATGAAAATAGTATTGAGGCAAATGATTGCATCAATCATTTTACATAGATGACATAGTGTGTGTGTGTGTGTGTGTGTGTGTGCGTGTGTGTGTGTGTGTGTGTGCACGTGTGCATATGTACTAGTATTGGGCGAGTTTCATAAAAGTTAAAATGGATTATTTATTTCTATTTTTTTTTTTAAATACATTTGTTTTACAATATTTATGTTTATGAAATATAATTGAAGTATACTATTTTCAGTGATTTATATTCAAAAACACAAACTATAGCGTAGAAGAAATTACTGTTCCAAAACAGAGAAGTTTACCTAATTCTCAAATGAATTGAAAAAATAAATAAATAATCAAATGTGCATTTAAAATAAGTATGCATGCAACTCTATTCTGAGTGTAACTGGAACTATTTCATTTTAAATGTTCTATGAGTTACACTCCTGAGGATAACTACGGTATAACTAGGTCCCCATCACAATACTTTCCCACAAACCTTCTGTCATTTACTTTGGCACAAAGGTTCTCAGCCTTTTCCCCTGAAATGTAGCTTTCTGACAAAAAGTAGCATCCCTGGTATAAAGGCTGTTGGAACGCCCTCATGTGGTTCACTGTAGAAGTCGTTGAAACAAAAAGCTAGGAAAATTTCTTTACACAACTCAAAGTGCATAATAAAACCAGATAGAAACAGGATAAAGTGGACTCTCTTATTATGTCAATAATATTATTTAATTAATGTTAGTTAATTAATTCATACATAGTTAGTCGCCTTATTTGGCAAGATAAGTTTATTTGAATAGCACAGTCCATACACAAGGCAACTCAAAATACTTCTCAAAACATTTGTGATAATAGTAATAGAATAATAATAAGGCGATACTAGAATACCTCTAAGTGTGGAAAGTCATCCGGATCAAATTCCATGCCCTGCAGTCTGTTCAGAGACAGGTTGAGCTCTCTCAGAGACACAAAACTCCTAAAATGACCTGTTGTTGACACAACACAGTGTTTAAAGAAAGCAGTGTGACCCATTTTAGACTCACTCACCTAAAGACAGGGAGTTTAAAGATGCATCCAGCTCAATGACATTATAAAACAAATGTAAATCTTCACAATTCACCTGGAAAATAAAGGTTTAGTTTTGTCAATAAAGTTGTGCCTGGTACATAAAGTTCAACTTACATCATTTAAGTTCTGCTCAGGTATTATCACAGCGCTCAACTCAAAAGGTTCATCTACACAGTGAAGTCTGAGCTGCAAGACATGTGATTTATGAGGATTTGTACACATCAGACACTTTTCCTGCAGTAGTCATGTACCAGTAAGTCTTTATCTAAAGTCTTGTCTTCAGACCGCACATTCTTCTGCCTTTTGTGAGTTTCTTTCACTCTCCTGTACACATCTGTACAGTGGACTTCCTCTGCTTTCCTGTAAGCAACAAGCCAGTGTCCAGCACCTACAAAACAAACATTTAAATTGTAGTAAATTGTTATATTACTGAAATAACGCTACATCGTGTTATATCTTAAGTTAGCTGCACTTACCTGAGCGTTTTGTGGGTGATGTTCTCGATATTACAGCGTCAGTTTTGTTTCTCCCATTCTGTTCATTTTCAAATAACGGAGTCATTTTCATTTCTCATGGATTTCAATTGGTCAAAAAATGTCCAGTTTATTTGGAATTGGAAATAAAAAACATTACGAAGCAGTCATCGCTGTGTTAGGGGGGTTGGAGAGTCTTGTCTCCTAGCAACAAAATATAGGCATTGTGCCCCCCGTCCACCAGGGGGCGAGACGGCCAGAGGAGAGAGAAAGCACAAAGATAATGTAAAGTCAAGATAGATGTTGCAGGGGTTAAGGTTAAAATACTTCGCAATCGTTCTTTTCCTCGACATTTTTCCGCCGTCGTCATGCATTTGCAGACGTGTATTCGTTCTAAAACATTGTGCAAACTATTTAAATTATTGTATCCTGCCGCGGTCGTCTTTGAGCTGCGCCCATGTCCATCAGAACGGAAAGCTGTAGTGAAAAATGTTTGCTTATTATTTATTTAATGATTTATTCGTAACGTGTCTCTGTTTCAATATTTTGTTTCATCTACTATCTACTTTCGTCCCCATTTACAGTGACAATCTATAACGTGTTATCTTTTTTATTCCAAATTCCAATCGCTCTTTTTAGGAACGCGGAAGTGAGGAGGAGTTAATTTCTTGGACCGTTGACGTCTTTTTTATAAAGCGCACAGCATCGTTGTCGGTGGCATACATTTCTATCTCGTTTGGAGAATATTTCTTATCATGACTGTTTCTATGGTCTTAAACGACGTTCGCAGCGGCCTGTGAAGGTAAGCTTTGATTGTGCAGACGCAGTCTGTCATGACGGAGCTGCTGAAGTGTGAACTCTTCCTGGTCTTGTGTCTACAGATGTTTCCAGCACAGGCTGCAATCAGTATGTTTTTGCTGTATTGTTGTGTTTGCAGGACTCCTTATCCACCATGGGGAACAGAGCCTCAAAATCTGGCAACATGGACGAACCGGTGCAAACTACTTTATTTGAAAGGGAGCCCAGTGGAATCACGTATAGGATCCCTGCGCTCATCTACCTGCGGCATGTCCAGACTTTCCTCGCCTTCGCTGAGAAGAGGTCATCGCCCTCTGACCACGACGCAAAAATCCTGGTCATGAGGAGAGGAACCATGAAAGAAGACGGATCTGTGGAGGTAAACAACAGTATGACCTATTACAAGCCTAACCATAATCGTTTTAAGGCCAGGCGTTGAATGAGTTTGAGTGTAGATTATAAATATCAAATATCACAACTCTTCATTTTCATAAATCTCAAATGTAACTGATTGAATGTATACAGCAACTGAAAAGAACAGGTGTCCTCCCAATCTGTAGGAATGCAAATTATATCCAAAATGAGGCAACGTTTTATGAAAAATTGGATGGGTTCATCATGAACTCACTGTGGATTATTGGATGAAACATGATGAATTAATGCATTCATTCATGTCATGGTGTGGTGGTGACGTCTCTGTGTAAACACGGACAGAAGACTAACCTTGCTCTGAATGATATATTGTGATCATGCTGACATGAAAGGCAGTCAGTACCTATATCATAAATGCCCTTAACACTGACAGTAATTTTCCTCTTTTCTTGTTTAGTGGTCATCAAGACAGGAGCTCCAGGCAGCCACTTTACCAAACTACCGCACCATGAATCCCTGCCCTGTGTATGAGAAAAACAGTAAAACGGTCTTCCTGTTTTTTGTTTGCATCCTGGAAAATGTTACAGAGAGGTGGCAAATCTGCACAGGTAGAAACAAAACCCGACTGTGTTATGTGTCCAGCAATGACAATGGACAAACATGGAGCGAAGTTAGAGACTTGACCGAGAGGGTGATTGGGGAGACCATCAACAAATGGGCCACCTTTGCAGTTGGTCCAGGCCATGGCGTTCAGCTAGAAAATGGAAGACTGATCATCCCAGCGTATGCCTATTACATTCCATACAAGTTATTCTCATATCCAATTCCTGGCACAGTCCACCCACGAGCTCTGTCCATCTACAGTGACGACTTTGGCCAGACGTGGCGACTGGGTAAGATGTTGAGAAAACCGTCTTGTGAATGTGAGATGGCTGAAATAATAGATCATGAAGGTCGGAGCCATCTCTACTGCAATGCCCGTTGCACGCGCAAACGAGGAGGCCATAGATGTGAGGCGCTCAGTGAAAACAGTGGCATGTTTTTTGACCAACCGCAAATCTCCAGAGAGCTGGTGGAGCCTCCTTCAGGGTGTCAGGGCAGTGTCATTGGTTTCCCCGCTCCTGAGTTTGTTCCGAATGACGATGCCGAAAGCAAAGCCTGTGGGACGTCTCTTCTTTCTCCTGATACTCAAACATGGCTGCTCTTCATGCACCCCTCTCATAAGTCCTACAGGAGAGACATGGGGGTGTACTTAAACCGCTCCCCTCTGCACTCGTCTGGATGGGATAAGCCTAAGATCATTCACAGTGGACCAAGCGGCTACTCGGATCTGGCCTACAATGGGGATAAAGATACATTTTCAGGCCTGATGGAGTGTGGGAAAGAAACTGAACTTGAGCAAATCACATTTGTCACTTTCACTCTCAATGATGTCATGCAAATAGGCAGCAGGAAGGACAAAAAGATAGATTGAGTCCCCATCTTAGTTTATCTTCAAATACCAACTTAATCCAATAATAGTTAGACCATAAATGCTGGTGTCTTGGATTACACAATTTGAACTGGCTGATGTTAGTACATTAAACACAAATTACATGAACACAATCTTTAAAATTCAAAATGAGATGTAGCCATGTTGAGATGTTCCATTCAGAACAGCTACGAACAGATGTACTTAAATTGTGCCATCAGTGGAGGTCTGCTAGCTCTCCTACCTACTGTCAATGAATAAGCCACTCAAATGCTGTGAATGTGCTGTGATGTCCCACAATACATTTGTCTGTATGCATGAGTTGTGAAATGTTGTCTTTGTTTAAAAAACAAACAAAACAGAACTTAGTATCAATATGCAACTGTGCAACAAATGTATAAAAGAAAATACTATTTTTAACTGTTTGGATGGGTCCTTTTTTTAGCATGCAGTGGTAGGCTATTAATAGACATTTGACTACTGTTTTAACTCTCTCTACATCTTTCAATTTAAGCAGTGGAAGAAATTTGACTACCTCTTTTTATTTTGAAATTTAAGCTGGCCTTGTGAAGGAGACTGAGGAGCGATTGCTCCTGACATAACCTTTACATTAAGTACACAATGCCTTTGACTCCTGCACTCTCTGTTTATTTGTGCTACAGCCTGAAAAAATAGTTTTATACACTATATTTTGCTACCTATCAAACCGAGAAGAGTTAATACTTCAGTTTATGTCTAATGACATACATTCCTAAGACATTCACAGTTTACTTATTGCGAGACTTTGTCACTTATTAATTTCTAAAGTGCAATATATGGCCATATAAAATGTGGTAGCAGTCCACTAAACGCATGTGAAAATATATTTATATGCCCTTTAGGACTTTGCACATGTAAAACTGTACTGAGTGACTGACTTATATCACTTATAGATTAATATGTGTTTGTTGTTCAAAGTATCAACATCTGCATGAAATCTGTATTTTAGTAGAAAATAAAATGATGTGATGAGTCCACGTCTGCATATTATTGTTTCAAAGATTTTAAATGGTGATGGTGTTTGAGCCGAGGTAATTTCAATTCCACACTGGTGTGATATGAAAATATGAACCCTGTGTGTAGTCATAAACTTGTGTGTGGTGAGGGAGATGAAAACTGCCCACAGCAATTGCAATGTGCAATGACGCTTTCTAAATAAAGATAACTAATATCACACCAAGTATGAGTATCAGATATGAGAAATCAAATTTGACCTGTTATACTACCAAAATCAACTCTAGAAGTCCTAAACTGAGTCAAGCAACAACAATGAAGCTGTCCCTGGTGCGTTACAAGTCGCCCTCTAGTGGCATTGGAAGAATGGGTCAAATGCAAATCACAAATTTCCCTTCAGGGACAAAGTATATCTTACCTTGCCCTATCCTATTTCCATGTAACAAATGGAAATACTAGTAGCTCTAACCACTGTGACATGGGAATAACACTGATATCTCACTTAACTATTGTGCCTTTACGAGAATACAAAAGAAATGAACAAATGGAGCTTCAGAGTGCTGCTGTCTGGGCTTTTAGAGCTGCTGTTTGTGTGAAAACATGTTGATGAGTTTAAAGAAACCTCTGGGGATTTAAATGTGATTGAGCAGATGTGCAGACGGCAGGGATTATGTAAGACCAGGAGGGAGCCGTCGGAAGCAGAAAGCAATACATTTATGTGAGTTTGACTTCACATGACCCTTTTAAAAAATCACTCCGCAAATGAGTTTCACTCTCAGCAGTATTGTGAGTGTGAGCATACCAACAAAAATACCAATGATGACTGGTGTTATACAATAATATTTGTGTTGTATTCATGATGTAAATGTGGAGCATTTTTACAAACCAGACAGGATTCTGCATCAAAAAACCTCCAGCCGATGTCAGCAGCATGAGCAGTGATATGTCTACTGTAGTCTCCAATCTGAAATTCAGCTTGTTAAAACAAAGCAAAATGGTCTGTTGAAATAACTTCAACATAAAGACACGTGTTGATTTTATTTAGACTTTATTATACGAGAAAAGTAGAGTGACGTTGAGGTAGTCATATGATAAACGCAATATTAACCTCAACATGTTGCACACTTCTGTCTTTTTGCACAATCAGAGTGATTCTATCTACACCAAATGTGACATGTACATTCTCCATTGTGAGATCAATTACGTTTATCTTATCAACATATGTTTCATGCATTACGTGTGTAACTAATGAATATATTGTATGCCAGATTTAATGGCAGTTTTAGACTGAAATATTGTGTTGAATGTATGGCTTGGGAATATGATGTTAAAAATTACATATTCCTATTGTTTTGAGTGAAATGATCACATCCTGATCCACTTTCTGTAAAACAAACCTTTCCAATCAGCCGCATTTACCCAGCCAGACTCTTTTGTGACCCGAGTGAAGCATGGACCTTCTGTAGATGACTTTAGTAACTTTGTACTTTATACATTACGTTCAAGTGGTGTTTGAACATCATCACAACCAATACATTACTGGGCAAAACTATTGTAATTGGGATAATAAAATATTAAGATGTTCCTTTCTATCACTTCTTGGTGTCTTTGTCTCACTTATATTTCTTTGTATTAGGCTCATCTAACTTTGCATGTGCTTTTGGTGTCTCTGTGTGAAAAGCTCCAAAAATACTTCTTGGTAAATACAAACAAATTATATACAAAACACTCCCTTCATTCTCAATTTAAGGCAATTAGTAATATTCTGTTTTCTGTAATAGACTTTTGCTTTTAGTGTTGAGAATATATTTACAGTCTATGGTTGAGATGGAGGACCTTGGCGTTGTCCGCTGTAGTGTTAAATATTAGATTGAAAGTACAAGTAATATTACTTTTAGCGCCACACTTCTGGACGTTGCTGCAAAAGTGCAATGAGAAAGTGTTGAACAAAAACCACACATGCATATTGTTCCCTTTGTTCGTACTCTGTAAAGGTTAAACTTTGAGAAGCCTGATTGCATTGTAGTGCTCAATGAGGGTCTATAATTTGTTTTGACTCACAGCAGCACATTTTGTACATTGTTAATAATTCACAAGTGTTTTCAAGTGACTTCCTAAATGCATTTGAGTTTTTCGCTCTCTGTAAAAAGTGCTGGTTTCTGTTCCCTCAGCTCAGAAGAGACACTAAGACTATTGTGTATATTTTGTGGAATACTGGTTGTCAAATGTTGTATTTTCAAAGGCTGAAAGAAAATATGTTCTTGCATCAAAAATTCAGATTACTGTAGTGTGCATCTTCAACGTCTAAAACTTCCAAATCCGTTTAAACCTCGTGAACGTGCTGAGAGTCAAAAGCAGCTGTGCTTCTTACACAAATCTCTACTTTCATGGTATATTGCACTCATAACGATATACCGTGTAAAAAGCCATACTCTAAATCTCACTTCCGTCTGTGGACTAAATGGATAAACCCATCTCAACTGATGGGTGTGGGCCCAAAAATGGGTTTCACGATCAACAAGCTTTTAGTCTGTTACGTAATCTCTACAATTGTTGTGGGCATTTGTCCTCTCACTCCACACATGGAGCAGGGTCCCCATACAGGAGGCACATGCCAGGCCTACATGTTTTCAGTGGTAGGGGAAACCGTTGCACAATCAGGGAGCAGCAGGGCAGAGTCTACTCGTCACTAATCTTCACTTTAAGGAATGTCTTAATAATGCAAGCTTTTAAACTTCTACCAATCAATTCCATTGAAAATTACATTCAACGTAATGCACTTGAAATAAAATTAAAAACATTGGCAAAATTCTTTAAATTAGTTACTGACCGTGACCCTAACCCCAAATTTACTAATTATAGATATTTTTTAAATATATTTCCTTGATTCTAGTAGTTTGGAGTTTTTGCTTCAACATTTTAACTTTTTAGCATTAATAATGCTTATATAACAATTTGTGAAAATAGACAATATTTTGCATTAGTTATAAAATACGTTTCATATTATTTTTTAAGTCACGACTGTGATCAATGATGTTAGGTACCGCCAACGTTCCAGTTGATGGCTATCAACTGGAACTGCTCTAAGACAAAGACAGAAATAAATTATTATCAATGAGCCAATTATTCAAAAGTCCAAAAAGGCAAAATGTTGTTCAATAAAGTGCATTGACCAAAAGGCAGTGAAGCATCACGGGGAGAGATGATGGCAAACTCAAAGAGGTTTATTCCAAATGCTAACTTATAATGATATGAAATTGGAAAAACAACATTTTTTCCAAGATGCCATAAAAATAAACCAACAGAAAATGCATTTTGTCAAAACGTGTGCTTTTCCCTTTAGGTTAGATATGTCAGAGTAACACATAATTACATTCAGTATGAGATGCTGTTTCTCTTTTGGTTTCCAGTACAGTAAAGTAGATGATATTTGCAGGCAAAAGTACATGTTGATTGAAGTTTGTATGTACATTGTAGGCTACAGTTGTTACAGATTCATTTATGTGATCTGTCTTCATCCTCTCACTGACACACCGGTATTTACACAAAAACATCAATTATTTCTTTTCTCAACAAGTCTCCCAAGGATTCGAACTGTTTTCATGACAAAACAGGAAAGGAAAAGTTTTTCTTAAATTACAAAGAAATTCAAGAAAAATAAATGTACATGGTAGTATAAAATCAATGTTACATGGGCGACAAAATGTACATGAATATATCATTTATCATAAAATAAACACAATTATATGACTTTATTAGCTTTATCTTACCCCGAAAGACACAATTTTGCTCAAATAAATTATTGTAAAACTACTCTCCACAGTGTCCAGATCCGCTGCTCTGTTACTTTTGCATAAAGTCTTTCGGGTTGAGGCTCGAGGTCAGTGCCATTGTTTGACACAGTTTAGATAATGCACAGAGCAGTGTCTGGAGTCTATGTGTGTGTGTGTGTGTGTGTGTGTGTGTGTGTGTGTGTGTGTGTGTGTGTGTGTGTGTGTGTGGCACCTAAATCATTCACACAAAATGAAAAGATGGGTCAGAGGAGTAAAAAATGGCTTACAAGGGCATTGCAAATCTACATAAGCCATCAAAGCCATGCCACATGAAAACCCTGTTCTGGGCGATTCTCTCTTAAAGGGACATGCGCACAGTTTACAAACAGAGGAGGCGAGAGACGGCGGTGAAGGCAGGGTCAGGACTTTACTAATACAAGTTTCCATTTTTGATTGTAACGTAATTCACACAAGGTACAACAGATACACTGATTAAGCATAAGAACTATGACCAATATTCTGGACCAACTACTGCTTAAGAGTATTTGCAGGGAACTACTGGACGTTAAAAATATGCCACATTGTACAGGATCTTTCAGTGGAAAATCTGGTCAGGAGAGAAAATACTTCAAAATACTGAGGCAGGCAATGCGCCATGTGTGCGATCAATCTGATCCCGCAGGAGGCTGTGGATGTCTTTTGATAGAAGACAAAACTAGATAATCATTTTACCTTTTGCAAAGAAACCCTACTTGTTCGACTCCAAACTGTTTAAAGATGTTTCAAATGTAACTAATCATGAAGACAAGATCTATATATACTCTGTTCTAAAAAAAAAACATCTGATTTATGGTTTCACTTGCGTGGTCATAATGTTATCCTTGATCACTGTACTTGTAGCTATAAATCTCAAAGTGCATTTTCTTACATCACATGCTCATAACAAATCAATGTCTCTACTTTCAAAAGCATGTAAACTGATACAGATTCTTGAGGGAATATCAGACGGATTATCTCTTGTGACCAAACTCACAATTTATCCACTGTCCCCAACCCTGTGAAGTTGTGAGCATGGCAGACCAGTCACATGCACGTAATGGGAAATGTTAGTCTAACCAACTACAACCTTCCTTTGGCTACCAAACACCATACAGATTCACAAGCAGCTTTAGAAGGAGACTCGTGTCCAATGAAAACACAGTTCAATGGACAATGTACAGTAGCACAGGTGAGTGTTTTTCTCAGCATTGTCCAGAAACATTTCATCCATGAGTAATTGAGATATTCATGAGCATTTTTTTCCACAATTGAAGTAGATTTTCTGTATTTCATAGTGGTTATAATGTATTGGGCAAATGGTTATGCACCAATACTGGAAGCATAATGTTGCAGAGGACATGCATTTGAGTATAGAGCAGAAGCAGTGATTCCCAGTTTCTTGGCATCTGTCCAGTCTCAGATTTGTTTTGTTCAGGCTCGGGACTCCTTCTTCGAGTGTGGCTTGTTTCCCAACAGAGCATCAATCTCAGTGATGGTCTGAGGGGTCATTTGTGATAATAACTGTAAAAGAAAACATATGCAGCCTTGTAATTCCCTACTGAATGACAACTATTAAAATAGATTTAAAGCTGACTTTCAAACAACAAAATATGGAGCTATGTAATAACTCCATCTACTTTTTACATGTATACAAATTATTTTTGGCCTCATCTTTCACAACTCACTCTAAGCCAATCAGCTCTCAGCCCAAAGCCTCGTATAGTGAAGTATGCAAATTATACAATGTTTTCTAATGAGATAACGACTGTATGTTGTGATATGTTCGCAACATTTTACATTATGACTATTATGAAAGAAAGAAAAGTTGGAACCTAAGCTTTTAACTTGCAACTGCACAGGTAAAAAGAACAAGGCTATTCTTCAATATTAATTAACAGTCAATACAAATAACTTATAACACATCCCATGTGATGCAGCATGTATGTCAATATATAATATTACTGGTATTTGAGTAGGGAAATTACCCGCATGGCACCCAAATTCTCCACCAGCTGGTCGGCGTTTGAGACCCCCAGGAGAACGGAGCTGACTCCTTCACTGCGCAGGCACCAGGCTGAGAGCAGGGAGAAAACATATGCAAATATACACTTACAATTCAACACTGAACTGGAATAATTGTAAGATCAGTCAATGTCTCTTGCTACAAAGCATAAAGTGAACACTCAGGGGCTTGTAGAGTATTTTAGTCTTACCAATGGCTAACTGTGCAGCAGTGCAGCCGAGGCGGTCAGCCAGAAGGTGGAGCTCTTTCACTTTAGCCAGTTGCCTTCTGCCCTCTTCACTGTTCACCCGTTCTTTCAACCACTGGTAGCCCTTCAGAGAAAGAAAAAGCAAATGGAGAGAGATGTAATAAGGCAACAGTGTTCTGTGCTGATTTCAAACTTCAACACCCCGCCGCTTGGGAGGAGAATTACTGTGAGTGAGGTCTCACAGGGAGAGGCGGTTCAAATCAAACTGACCTTCATGGCTGCTCTGGAGCACTCAGGCACACCATCGCTGTACTTCCCTGTGATTAATCCACAAGCCAAGGGGGACCAGGTCATAGCTCCCACGCCTGAGGGAGGGAGCCAAGAGAAACCTTTGAGTCCAGCTGTGCTATAGTCAAGACCTCAGAGCCAAAGATAAGCTCTGGATGGAGCATAGTGCAGTGGGGCGAGGCTTTTGAGAGGATATGATCAGGGACCAATTACAAGTTTATAAATGATACTGGATGAATAGTCATTGAAATGATGATATTATTGATGGCGATAATGCCATACACTTGTAATGCGCTTTACCGGCTAATTGAATCCTCTCAAAGTTCTACACTGAAGACTAACAGAAGTGAGGCCAGTGACTGCCAGTGTGTGCTATGGGACCCTCCAACAACCACCTACCACTCCTACTATGGTGTATGTCTCGTGTTGATGTGTTGATGAGGAAACCAAAGTCCAGGAGAAACCCATCCAGACATGAGAAGAGATATGCAAACTGCACACAGAAAGGCCCTGGGATTGAACCCACAACCTTGCACCTGTGAGACATGTCTCAGCAAGAGTTGGACTGACTTTTATGCTGATTCACTTCAAGCTAAATCAATTGTAACCATTTAACTAAATTGAACTCGGCTTGACTGGAATCCATTCACTCACATCTGAATCTGCAGTTCAATACTGTACAAAATACATTTCTAACACAACTGATTCTTGTTGCTAAACTACAGATTACAATCTGAATTTTCTTTAGGTCTTGCTAGTAACATATTTAGCCAAAGTAAGTGCATTATCTAGTCAATAATAATGTATTTATGAAGGACAAAAACGTTTTTGTACCTATTTTGTGATAGAGTTCTGGCAGTTGCACTTCCACTTTGTCCCTCTGGAAGTAATGGTACTCAGCCTGCTCACACACGGGTGGGATCAGGTTGAACTGCCGTGCTACTGAGTATGCCTCCTAAAAAATAAATCCAAAAATGTCACTCCTCTTATTTCCACTTGTGGCCAATAGAGCTTTATTATTGGGAGAGGGGTCTTCACCATGATTTCCATAGCACTCCAGCGCGACGTGCCCCAGTACATGGCCATACCCTGGTTTATTACAAATGTCATGGCACGTACAATCTCTGAAATCGACAAAGTAAATCAGAAGTAATTCCAAACAAATACATAAATTATAAATAATAGACAGAAAATAGGTACTCACCCTCCATTGGACTATTAACATCATTTCTGTTGGCAAAAACAATATCTACATATTCTAGTTGAAGTCTTGATAAGGATCCTCGTAAACCTGAAATTAACAAAAGCATCATTTTTCTGTGACAGGGCCAACAAATAAAAATATCAGCATCAACATGGACTATAAAAATAAAAAGCTTCTGTAAGATTTCTGCATTTGCATCTGCAGTTTATTATAGAGCACAGCAGTTTCCAGAGTGCTGCACTTAAGCAAGCAGAAGCCTTTGAGTCATGTTATTATTAATGTTGAACGAGGACATCAACAAAATACTAACCTTCTACAATGGTGACATAAAATAAACAGAAAGCTGGCCATTAGTTCCTCAAGTGAACCTAGCTTTGTAGTTTAGACTGTTTAGACTGCATTTCCTTGAGATATTATGCAATGGCCTTCCATCAAAGAGACAGCAATAACAGTCAGTCAACCAATTCAAGTCCTTTCTGAATGATCCGCCTCAGGCCATCGTGTCATACAGACCAAAGAGAGGATGAGTGTGGACACAGCCAGAAGCCTCTTGCGTTTCAGCAGCAGTCACTTCGCTGCTCACTCATTGAATGGGCTGAAAAAGTCATGGTTCCTCACACAATCTCATCTTTTTTGTGTTTACGTGAAAGGATCATGAGATCATTTGAGACACATTTGAGAAAACATTTGTTTCGTAGTTTAAGCTGCTTTGTTAATTCTTACTAAAGATCATTTTGGCATGTTCAAGACCGGAAAGCAAAATAAAATGAACAGCATAGAGCATAGATTCCTGCAGAAAGTAAAACAAAACCTACAATGAAGGTAAATGCTTCTATACCTTCGATGATGTGCTTTCTAGACAGGCCCCTCTCTGTCTCTGCTCTAAGGACAAAGCACAGGCATTATTGAAGTGATAAAAGAGCATATTGATTTAGTGCGGGTTGAATACTCACTGGCCTCCCCAGTAAATCTTTGTTGTTATGACAAAACTTGAGCGCCTGCAAGATATAACCATAAAACAATTCTTTTGAATCAACCGACAAGTTTTAACTTACAGAGTGTGATCTTCTGCGTAGCACATGAGCAGTGTAATTCTTAATTTGCTACTGGCTGAAGGCTGTAATTAAAGGCAGTGGTTTGCTCCGGTACTTTACTTGTCTTTACCATGGATGTAAAATATTACCACAACCACATCAATGCGCACGTCTACTGCCTCATACACTTTCATTCAACATGTAGCACCAAAGGTTTTTTCTGAGAAGAGATGTATCATCTACTGTTACTGACTTTTGTCCCGTTTCCAAAATGGCTCATCAAATTTTATATTCTGTTATGGAATAACACAAGTTAGGGATGTGATAAAGTTGAATGCACTGCATTCCATATAGTCTGTTGCCCCAACATGTACAGAGGTTCTTGTGTACACATATGATGTAACATATATCAATAAAATAGATTGTTGATCACATTGCCAATTGTTTACAAAGTTGCACAGATGGAGGCAGATCCATGTTTCTAGGTTCACCTTCTCCCTGTTTCCACCAATAACAGAGTTTCCATATCCAACGTCTGACCCTAGACATAGTTTTGGAACAGTGCCCCTCTTTGAGCTGAGATTGTTTAACACCAGCGTCGAGCCCAATGTCTATCAGTGCATAAAGCATGAGAGAAATTACAGAGATATTACATGTTTTTTTAATGTGTTACCCGATCAAGCCATAATATCTACAGTATAGTGTAATTTATTTCTATTGGAGCAGCTAAACAAACAGACACCTTACCTCCATCCCTTCTTCTTTACAATGTTTCCTAAAGTGATTTCCGCTCTGTGGACAAAAAATTTTCACATAAAAAAAATCTCTATACAGGTATGCTCATTCAAAGTAACTGCATCGTCTATTCCAGTAAAATCTGTGGTTTTTCCCAGATGAGCATTGAAGAATTAATTTTCATAGTATAGTATAGTATATTTGAGGAAGTGCGACTGACCTTCCAGATGCGTACACTTCTGCTGTGTCGAAGAGGTTCACCCCATTTTCATACGCGATGGTCATTAGGTTTTCTGCCATCTGAAAAATTATAAATGGACTTCATTCAGAGTAGATTGGCCTCAGAACAACCTAAAATAACAATATGTCAATCAAAAGGATCTGGTAAAAGAAAAGGATAACAACTTTGAGTAAACTAACCCTAAGTGACTTTTCATTGCACTCTCCCATTATGCATTGCAGTTGTGCATAACTATGGGAACATGTTCACTTTAAAATATTAGATGTTCTACTGCAACTTAAATGTATCTTGTTATGACACTTCTCAGTCTGTGGGCCAATTGAGGAGGAAGCTTGAGGGCCACAAAAAGTGGACTATGACCCTGAGGCCTTAAACACCCAGCTCTATGGAGACGCTAAACCATTTACCTCATCTGAGATTTGAGAACCAAATGTCACCCATGTTCCTGGAAAAAGCAGAAGACTTGGACATTAGACAGGGTTTGTAAAACAAAGTAATTACAATAAAGGTAAGTATTTAAAGGATTTACCTAATCCCAGACAAGACACTCGTAGACCTGATTTCCCCAGATTTCTGTGGAGGAGAAAACGACACCTGAATTCACAAAAAATGCTAAGATAGTATATATTTACATATATTTGTGTTTGTTCTATTTATTTTGATCTGGCTAAATGTGAATTAAACATTGATTTCATTTTTTTCTTTTTGAAAGTCTGAGTGTAGTATACATTACTGCCTTCAATGATTTATGAAAAATGGACCTTTATTCTTGCGATCTTATTGGAGAGCTAATTTGGATTAAAAAATAGTGCGTAAACCTAAGAGGGGAAGTTCATTGTTGGATAAGGTTTTGAGACATGAGAATTCTAGAGATGCGAAGAGAATGGGGCACAAGAGCCTAGGACCAGACATGGTGTGGCCCCAAGTTTAACAAGCCCAGGAGCCAGCAGGATCTAAGCAGCATCTCAGGTCCCTGCATGCGCTGCCAGTCTGCTCTGTCTTAAATAGCCAAATGCACAAAGACAGACTGTCAGAGTATTTAGACGCAGCTCAATGAGTCCTGCTTTTATTTGCGCCTGTCTATTTTTAATGCCTGACCCTTAAGCTATTTATAGATTCCTGCATATGTAAGCATTTGTGTCCCACTGGGCATGAGGCGTTTCATGTAGGATTGTGAGCATTATTTTTACCACATGTGCACATGTGTAGGCGTGAAGCCGATAGTGTCAGTGCTGTTACATTAAAAAGGCAGAGGAAATAGCACATGGGTGAAATGTCAGCAGTGTTATAAAAAACAAACAACAAATATTCCTTGTATGGTGTAATGATGACGCAAAGATCTGATTTCCAGGCAGAATAAGAAACACCTTAGTTAGTGAATGATTTGAATGTATGGCTTATTTATGGAAGGCCTTAGACATCAATTAAAAGAGCTTATTGTTCAAAGAAACTATAATATCCAGAGGTTTTACTGAGGACCTCTTACCTTCACACACACCCAATTTCACCTCAATCTTTTGTGACTATGTACTATGATTTCATCCCACATGTCTTATTGTCCAATTGTCTGGGAACAGGCCACAACATCTTTACTGAAGCCTCTGTTGATCATTTAAACAAACAGAGGATATTTGACTTGAAACCATCAACAGAAGTTATCACTGCCATATTAACCAAAATTCCAAATGACGAGTTTTGATTATCTTCTATATTTCTTTTCTTAAAAGCTATTTTAAGCCCCTGATGCAATTTGTAAATAAATACAAAGGTACAGTAGTGAAGATGTGCAGACACAAGCTGCAGTTAGTGGGTTTCAAAAGGTGCTGGACGACAGTCGGAATTTTCAGTAAAGGCCTCATATCTATGGAAGCTTTTGCCACTGGAGCTGAAAACACAGTCGGACATCAGACGTACCTCCACAAAACCCAGAAGCGTCCACATAATACACACGAATCTGTGTACTGTGAACAATCATGTGTTTTTCTTAACCTTGTCTTTATAAATTGTATGTATGCTGGATTGGAGGTAAAACCACAATTCTTTTGCCATCTTTATTTGTTGTTGTTGAACCATGTTAAACGTATCTGTAAAGAGCAGTGAATTGTCCCTCCATTAGACAGCTAAAACTAGCTTGCCAAATCATTTTGTGGCTATTTTTACTCTTTTCTGAGCTAGCAGCCACTCAAGAATAATGCTGCTATTGTGCTGCAAAGCATAGATATCATGATTTGAGAAGAAACGGCGCATAACTATTAGCATAATCAGACAATATGTAAATCATTTTACGATTACAAGCTGTGATCTGTGGTATCCCACCTCTGTCCCTGCTATGTGCTGTTCTCATTTACAGTAATCAAAACAGAGATGTGTGACAAACACCTCACTCTGAGTCAACAGTAGTGGTAGCCACCACAAATGCTACACAATCCAATGAAAAGAGAGATCCGTAGCATGTAATAAAAGCACATAAAAGGCTTAGATTGGCAGCTTTAGGTAATGTTACAGCGTAGGAACCAAGCAGTGGTGAGTTGGATTACTGCTGCAACAGTGTCATGTTGGAGTTTGTGGGCAGTTGTGATTGTTTGTGCAAATGGCCACTCCTCCCTCTCGACTCTGCAGTGCTGCAGTAAACCACTATCAGTCTGAGCACATGCCTCTCCTAGTGTCTCCCACACAAGCCTGTACTTTATATGGTGGACACTGCAGCCCATTTGACTGACACAGATTTGGTCAGAAAAGCCCAGAGATGAGGGGTCTTGATGAACTCACAAGTGGGTGGCTTTACAGCAGATTCACGCTTGATGAGAATGACACTGGAGCACAGGCACAAATCTACATAGGCCATGCATGGATGCACTCATGAGCAGGGCACACAAACACAGATGCTTCTCTGGACTCTCATAAGTAGGAATACCTATGTTTTCTTGTCTATTTTCTGTTCTCATTTACAGTAATCAACAAAGTCTATACAAAGTGACAGCAGAGACAGGGCCATCCCCCTCATTATTAATTGAGTAGTGAATGAAGGCACAGAGGTGCTCTGTCATGGTCTAGTCAGCATTTCAACCCATGCCGACAGTTACAGTTTGTTTTCACCTGAGACAGGAGAAGACTCATACAGAGGGTGAGCTGCAAACCAAGGATTTTTAGCCACTAACATGCTGAGTAGGCTTCTCTCCTGAGACCAGCACGCAGAGGTATTAAATATATTTTTGTGCGCGCCATAGTCACAGAATAAAACAGACAATGTGTCCTGCATGGTATTTATGATTGATAATACTGTACATATGCACTGCTGGAGGAATTGTCGTGTTATGAGTATCTGCAGACCTATTTAACAAGAAACATTCTATTTCATGAATAACCAACCCTCCAAAACTAAAGTAATCTAAAGTGATATTTAGTTTCTGTGCAATACTCATGCAATCCACTTGTAACAGAATGCTACCATAAAACATTTTATACTCCCTGATTATTAAAAGAAAAGAGCAGACAAAAGTAAAACTTTATGTAGAGAGTAATTCAGCATTATGAAAAGCAAAATAATGCTTCAAATCACCAAAAGTGATTTGAAGACACAGCAGTCTGCTTCCCATGTCTCACACACACTGATGTTGGTGATACTGGGCTCACCAGCCACGAAGGCATTTCTGGGATTTGGGTGCACAGAGGGCTGGAAGGTGGTTGAATGCAGAGATCTCAATAACCCAGTCCACGCACACAGCATCTGGCTGTGGGAGAGGTTGGACCCCCCACCTTTCTGGGGATTAATGAAGTAGTGAGCATGTTTTTGGTGGTAGGGGAAACCGGAGCACCCGGCGGAAATCTACGCAGGCACAAGGAGAACATGCAAACTCCACTCAGAAAAACCCTGTTCCAACCAGGATTCAAACCCAGGACCTTCTTGCTGAGAGGCGAGAGTGCTATCCACTCAGCCACCGTGCCGCCTTGGCCGCCCCTCCCTGTGGCGTTTCCCACAGGGAGAGGCGGCGAGCTTTGGTGGCCGTACTCATTGGCCCACATCTCAGCGGCCACATGTTGGAGTTCTCCTTAAGAGTGGGGGACAAATTTGTCACTGTTGTGGCAGCTTTTACAACAGTGCAGAGACACTTTGCTGAAGAGAGGGGCGGAGTTGTGAACTGATCACCACCTGGTCGAAAGTTGGATCAGCCGGTCGGGGAGGAAGCTGGTCAGACCTGGCAGACTCAAGCATGTAGTGAGGGTCTGCTGGGAACGTCTCACTGAGCCCCATGTCAAATTCACTCAACTCACATCTCCGGGAGAGCTTCTCCCAGGTCCCGGGGGAGGAGGGGGACATTGGGTCTGAGTGGACAAAGTTCTCCACTTTAATCGCTGCTGCACTGCTCGTAGCTGTGGTCACAAGGTTCTGGCAGGAATCGCAGTACCATGTAGTGGATCCCAGTAGTAAAGGATGCCGTCAGGCTGAAGAAGGAGTTCCATCGAGCCAAGATGGTTTGACGGACTCCTGGGGAGGCTGTCCCATAAATTTTGGCAAACCATCTGGCGCCACAGGAGGGGGACGCAGTGCCAACACCGTTTACAGTGCGAGTAGAGCTTGGAGTAGAGCTGTACTAGTCAAGATGACTCGGGCATCTGTTTTGGATGCCTCTCTGGGGGAGGTGTTCCGGGCATGTCCCAGCGGAATTGAATTCAACCAGAATAAAATGGATGGATGGACGTTGGTGGTGAGATGACATTGAAGCCACTGATGCCCTGGAGTTGATGAGTGAAGGCACCACTGGACCCACTCACCACCATTAACCCAATCACCCCTCATATTCTGTGTCTATGACTGCTGAGGAGGACTTTGTGCAGATGATGCTGCTATCACAGCCTGGCCCTACTATACAGACATGAGCTGACAACATGTAAGCCTTGTCAAATCACAGCAGCCGCCCCTTTTCCTTTGGTAAACCAAGTGGAAAAATTACTTATATAAATATATACACCACTTCAACCTCTTACTGGAAATCACAGATTTGTCATTCATTTATTGGTGGTGAACAAAATGTGTGATACAGATTATATACAGCTGGATTTAAATTCCATTTTCATAAACTCCACTCCAAGTGACTCCATACAGCTTAAGTAAAATACTACTGCTCTTAATACCACAAGTTGAAAGAGAATTATGTAAACCCCACTGAAGGTCACGCATGTACATCATTTCTGGTCCAGTATGTTCTGTGCAAAAGAAAAAGGAACAAAAACTATGCTGATAGATAGTGTTAGTGTGGATCTGACTGAAGGGGCCATGCCATGACATTAGTGTTGTCTGTCATTAAATACAATAAATATACTCGCTCACTGGAATAAATATAAACAGTAAAGATGTTTCAGACGAGGTTAGACAAATGTTGTATTGTTGTATTTTTCATTATAATTGTTCCAAAAATAAAAGTGCAAAATAAGTAAAAGAGTAACGCCTTAACCATTGTTTTCTTTATAATTGGTCTTCAGGGGTTAAGATACATCAATGATCCATATGAGAGCTAAAAAATGAGTGCAAGAGTGCAAGAGAAATGGTCTGAAAAGTGGAATGGACAATTCCA